AAATGGAACCTCTCTCCAAATTTTAGTTATCTAAGACATGACATTTGCCTTGGTTTTGATTCACAATACAAATTCAGATATTGATATCACTCTAGCTATTTGAACAATAAATACAGTATAGCTTAGTGAGTATATACAGAAAAAAACGTTCACATTCCAAGCTACAAACAGTTAATGTGATTTTTAAGTACAATTAACAGTACTCACCTGTAGGAACTTAGTACTTTTGTCCTGCTCCAGAATAAGTTTGTAGAAATTTCCAGCTGATATCCTAGGCCATGGTCAAACTGGTAACATCTTATTAAAATTACAACTAGAATTGAAGCAGAATGAAAGTTAAATTAGCTGACAGATTTCTGAATGTGTATTCTGGAAGATTTTTAATCCTGCATTTAAAAGTGAAGAGAAGTTCCCTGCTAAGCTCTTTCACTCAAGGACCACAGACAGCTTTTTCTTTATTCCACTTTGATCTCTTTATGGAAAGGTCTCCAAAGCATGGAAGAAGTCTAATTGGTATTAAGTATTACATCGAGGCTGTAATTCCAGTTTATAAACTTGTTAAATGAAAAAGGGCAGCAGTTAATCCAGAAACGCCAGAAAAGACTCACCACTGCGCTTCCTGAAAAAGCTTCAGGTGCTGTTACATGAATAAACATGCGGTGTGCGTGTACGTGCACAGATGCCTATGAACAGTGGCTTGACTGGGCGACTACAATCAGCCTTTTCCAACTGCTCAGTTGAAAAGGAATTAAAACTATGAAAAATAGCACAAAGGTGATACTTACAACAGCATCATTGCTTTAGATTTTAACTCTTTCCTGAGATGACTGGCATAACTTTTGAAAGGGAAAAAAAACGCACTGTGTTTTGATGAGAGTTCTCTTTCTTAGCAGTTCCTACATTTCAGCTACTTCAGTGGTAAACTGTGTAACGATAGTCTCTCCAAGTGAATCTGTGAAGTATAAAAATATAGGAAATGAGAGATCATGCAAATGAAGTCCATTAGCTGTCCAAAGTTTTCACATACTGTAGAATCCAACAACACAATGAAGATATGCTGGAAATCAATGACTGTTTATGCATTACTGAGGGAATCTGGGTTAAGAATAAAAACAAAACAATCAGATATGTAACTGGTCTCAAGTGAGTTGTAATTTATTGGGACCCTGCTGTTTCTCACTCTGAGCTTTTTACACAAAGCAGTCTATTAAATGCACAAGCAGTATTTTTGCAAATATAGGTTTTTAAAGCAACAATTATGTACTGGTTCTTTGTCTCTCCAAATGTCACTGAAAACTAGTGACTCCATTTTGTAGAAAGTAACCAAATGGCACTGCTCTTCTGTGCTAGTCAATTAGCGATGTTACTGTGTTGGGCAGAAGGCTTTGTTTTAGGAGAAAAAAGCACAGTTTTGATAATAACTCTGCCAAAATTTGTAGTATGTAGCAAAGTTGAAACTGTAACAATTTCCCCCACTGTAGATTTTTCAACATTCCTTAAAAGAGAGAGAGAGAAATGAATGACCAACCTCAATCAGACTGTGATGCTGAAAATCATCTTCTCACAAGGAACTGATGTGAAGGGATCACGAGCTGTAGCCAAGTAGAACTGTGGCTGCCCCTAGTGAGGAAAGGACAGTGATGACGAAGGCTTAATTTTGCTTCCTAGTCGAGGATGAACTTCAAAATGACTTGAGTCAAGTTGAGGGGTTTAAGTTGTCCGGGTCCAAGTCCTGGAGGAGATGGTAAATGCACAAGGAAAGCAGCCTGTCTTTGGCATCGCTAGACTCCCGAGACGAGAGCTACACAGTATCACACAGAGAGCTGGGCGTGAGGGGAAGCACAGGCCAGTCACCTGCTCCAGTTTCAGAGACCCCCATTTAATAGAGCTACCAGAGAACCAGAAATCTACTCCCGCTAGAAAACACGCACTCAGACAGCGGTGGTTGTGACAATCATGACACCTAAATATATGTGCTTTGAAATGCTGCAGATCTATTGGTGTCAAGACTTAAGGCAAGCTTTACAAAAGTGTGTGTCATTTTCCTCTTACCCAGAGGGAGCTACTTTGCTGCTAGTGCTCCATTTTATGTTTGAACCTGAACAATGAATTTTAAAATTTCTTTCCAGGACATACATGGGAAAATATATCCTCAGAAATAACAGAGGAAAACCTTTTAGATTACGTGTTTGGTAATTTAACCAGAGACCATACTCAATGACATTTGTGGGTATAAGGTATCAGGTACATGCCATTTATTCTTGTACATGGTGATGCTAAAACAAATAAGGTATATGTACTTTATCCCTATAATTGAGACAACCACAGAAACCATGTAGGTATCCGTTACGTGGCAGAGTTTCTGCAAGTTAGTGGAAGGGTTGCCAGGTGTTTCAGTGAGTTAAACCCCAACTTGTGATGCGAGCACAGTGCCAGCTGGAGTGTCAGTTGCTTCACCCGAGAGGCAGCTTTCTGGCACTGCACCTGAGAAGGCAGAAGAGGATGGTCAAAGTACTTGGGCCCTCCATCCGTCCTGTGAGAGCAGGATGGAGCTCCAAGCTCCTGGCTGGGGCCTGGCCCAGCTCTGGCCACGGTGGCCACTTGAGTAACAAAACACATGAGCAATCCCTCTGCCTTTCAAATAAATCTGTTTATAAAATTTATGGAAAATATTACTCAAAGCTTGCTTTGGTACATAATTTTGAAATCCAGTCTTTTCATAACAGGCATGTTTTAAGAACATTTGAAGATCTTGCATAAGCCTGCATTTCAAATATTTTGCACCAAAATTTAACTTTTGATTACTAATTGCAGTTTTTAAAAATACTCATGTGTATGTGTGTGTCTGAATATAATGATCATAATTGTAAAAGTAGATTGTTTTGAGTTGCAATACAGAAAACAGAACAAGACTCCACTTTCCTGGTATTCACAGAAGAGGAGGTAGATAGCGTATTCTGCAGAACACTGGCAAGACATTCTCTGAATTCTTATACCAAATGGATGTTTGTTACCTGCATTAATGTTCCAAATAGTAAGTTTTAAAATAATTTTTTTTCCAGACAGATGATAAGATTATAAAGTTAGTAATCCTTCAAAGGGATTTAAGGTATAACCTCTGATAAATTTAGCTATCATTTAATCTTACCAGTTTCGCCCCGCGTTTGTGTGCTGATCATGAAGATCCATTAGAGGACAAATAACTCCTCAGATTTCATGAATACTCCTGAAATCAGAAAGTAAAGGCATGTTGCCATGGCACCACATGGTATCCACACCAAGCAGTTTAATCTTTAGCAATTTCAGAATACTTCTGAAGAAGAGTCTACAGGACCCACTCTCTAGTTCAGCAATGGTAATGATCCGCCTTAATGCGGCAAAAAAGCAAAGACTGCAGGATCCTGGCAGCAAAACCCTAAGTTGGTTTCCCTCTCAAGGAGGACATGTAGAACAAGTGTAATTTATTTGAAATCTATAGTAATAGGATACGGATTACATTTTTAATTACAGAAAATGATGCAAAATTTTGTCTTTTGAAAGTTCAGCAGATGCCAATTTAAGTAACACAATACGTATTTTACTTAGAAGTGTTACTTTCAAAATAAATTGATTATTGACATGATACACAAATATGTATAAGCTGGACAACTGGAAAAGTAATATTGTAAATCATGTCATATATTATCAATGTATTTCTTTAGAATCTTGTGGCCAATACCACAATCTAGAGAAATTTTTAATTAAACCTACATAGTTCCATTTTAAAGAAATAACTAAAATTAATGAGGCAAAATGGTATTTAGAGGGTATTTAGGAGACCAGTAAAATCACTTCTAACAAACACGTTCTCATCTCTTTTTCAGTCTATTTTCCCAATAGTATACCTTGGTAACAACTTAGCAGTTTTTTGGAATTGACTGTAAAAAAACTAAAGTGATAGGAAAATAACAAATGAGACATCCATAGATAAGTAACCTTGAAGAAAGCACTGAATATTATTACTTAAAACACTGTTGTTTCTGATGACACCATTACAAGTGCCATCTGTTATTCTTTATTTTTTGAGAAAATTTCAATGAACAAATCTCTGCAAAGCCTTTTTTTTGCAACCTTCCTTTACTTCTCAGATTGGGTTTATCTATATGCATTCTGCCTGATTTTATCCTCTAACTGCAGTTTATCAAACAGTACCTGGTGGCCTTGAACCCCTGTGAACCTGAAGGATTATGACTTAGTTTTTCCTTCAGCCTTTCACCCAGTTTTCTTCTGTTACACTTTTAATTTTATGTTTTCAGAGTACTTAAAATGTTTTCACTTTATCAAATTCCGTTAGTTGCTCTATAACTCTAGCTCTAAAAGAGAGGCAATGCAAAGGATGCTAAGTAGAAAAATGCATCAGGAGGATAAAGTCAAGATAGCCAAGACAGTCAGTCTTCAAAACAAAACCATTGTAAATCAAGCCGTTTTGATCATTAGGAAGTTATCAAGAGTCTTGACACAAACCATTTCTGACCTAACCTTTGAGAAGTCAATGACAACCAACTAAGTTCTTTTTATCTGTCACCACTTTAAGATGAATGGTTTTTCCAACATGGGGACAGAAAGATGGTAATTTTAACTTACTCTCAAGACAAATGACAGTACAACCGGTATCAACTCAAAAGTGGACTCCAGATTTCCAGTTTAGTGCAGCTTACCTTTTTGCAAGTGCGAGACATGCTTTATATCTACTGTTGAACTAAATCGCAAGTTCCAAAGCAGTGACTCATTATGCATTAATGCTCACTTGATTCTGAAAAAAAAACAATGAGTGATATCAGAGTTCCACATTCTAAAAAGATGTGGGAGCCATTCTACAAAATCCAAAATTTCAGAGGAAATGTTTTAATGCTTATTGGAAACAGCTATTCATAGATGTTTATGTAATGGCCAGACTGGGGGTCCACGTTTGCTAATGGAAGTATTATATATATGTATTTATATAAATATACACACACGCATATAGTACAATACAACTATATTTTTCTATTTGATTATTAGCTTTTTTCCTTGGATTTTTATTTCACAAACAGCTTAGAAACATAGGAGAAAACACATTCAACAAAATTTTGTTTTAAAAAGGGGAAGAGTTTCAAGAGAAGAACATTTTTAAAAAGCCATCGTGTTAACCACTGAGTGCTACTTCCTTTTTAAAAAACGTGTTAAGCATATTAAACCTATATGTAAACTTAAGAAAACATGAAACAAAAAACACCTCCAATTTGTCATAAATGAACTGAATTTTACAAAGTTTACAGAATAATACAAACAGAATACAGAAAATATTCCCCAACAGGAGATTATCTGTGAAAAATATCTAATCATCGTCATTTTTCTTTGGGAAACCTAACACATTTTTCAAACAATTTAACAGAATGTTTTTGCCCACTCCAACAAGTCAAGCATTCAAGTATCTCAGAGCGCAAAGACGGGTACGGGTGTACGTTGCTTGACATTTCCAGTCTGCATGAGTTAGACTTATTTTAGGATGTTCTGTAAAATCAGCATTTGCTTTGAGATGGCAAATTCTTTTTAAACATTTAATGACTAAGCAAGATAAAAGTATCCCGAGACGTTTACATTCTTGAGCAGAATTTGCAGTACCCTGAAAGATCTATGCTTGGGACCAAGTACAATAGTAATAAAACCCCTTCTAATTAATTTATGATCTAATCATTTCTACATCTGTACCAGAGCAAGCAGCCACCAGTGTGAGTCCTCCCAGCACCACTGACTTTAACCTACAAGATGGATTTCTGGATAACATAATGTGATTTACAAGGACTAGTTAACTATTGCATGTATGCAGCTTTGGCATCACCAGGCACAGCCTAATTCCAATAATGCCATCTCTGACCTTTCTAACTCAATCCACATTTGTTATAAAAACAATTATCATTCCAAGCTTTTGCAAGCTCCACTTCAGCAGGAAGTGCTAATGGTGTGAAAGGTACGGGGCGATAAATGCCTGAGGGAAAGAGTGCCTCATGTCACTCAAAGATGACCTCTTTCTCCTGATTAAGGAGCAACACTGACAGGCTCTCAAGTTCATCACTGAGCTGGGAAGGTGGAGGAAGGCATAAGGACGGCACATTCCACCCAAACTTTTCACGTGTGGGTGTTCATTTAATTAACTTTCTAAAACAGCAAACAGGAAAATGGCAAGGGGTTTGTGGAGTTCATGTGAAGAATCTCAACATTAAGGTATGCATCTTAAAGACTACATATTTGCTCATGAAGAGTGAAAAAACAGAACCCTCGCGTTATCCACTGTAAAAATACTGATCAAAGGATTAGACTATTAGATTAATTATTTACTTTTAAATGCCAAAGCCAGTTATTAAGCAAATTTAAGATTCATGGTATGGCTTATTTTTTTCCCCAAGAGCATATATTAAAGCAATAAAACTCCAAATCATGTAAGCCTAGCTCTCCTTCCCAGCCTGTAATCGTTTCTCCTTTCTTTGAACCCCTGTCAAACATGCCACCCAGTACTCAGTAGGGTTTTCATGTATCAAAAAATGAAGAATTTAACATTGTTGAGTAATTGCTTATATTATTGATATGAGAAAAATGTTTTTCTGGTCATTTTGGAGTTGGTGAAATGGCAGAAAAGGCATATAATTGGACCATCCTGCTAGGAAAATTAAAAATTAATGATGTAGATGACACAACTTCAAAGAGAATTGTTGACCTGTAAGCACTACCTGGAGAAAAGCTGTGTCTTAACAATTCAGAAATTTCCTTCCAGGCTTTTTAATCTAAGCATTTCCCCCCTAAACAATTACAAGGAACTATGATGCCAAATCTGGCCTAGTGATGAATAGCATTACTCAGTCTGGTCTTCAATGACAACCTGGAGAAGTGTCCAGCTTAAAGGCTGGGGTTCAAAATAACTACGAATTGTATTAGAATTTCTTTATTTTCTAGTTTTAAGAACTTGTTTTGTTTGTTTAAGGCAACTGCTTCCTTTTTAAATTTCTTTTTATAATTTAATGTAAGAAGACTGATACATTCTAGGATCAATAGAGTGTTTAGGTTTTTTTTTTTCCCCTTGCAGGTTTAAATTCCCATTTATATTATTATTGTTAATTCAGGAAAGACAGTAGCCTATGTATGCCAAACTGGACTTCTGAGGAACTAGAAAACCTCTGAGACCTCAGGGGTATTTAAGTGTTTTATACTATATATCCTCATACAACCATTATGAAATATTAACACTAAATACAACTAAACACTTTTTCTGAATGTCTAAGTTAGAAAACCTTTTGTTAAAACTCAAACTCATGCTTTAGAAAGTAATTACTATTTTTACTTTTGGTTTAAATAGTTTCTTATACTCAGGAGGAAGTAAGTAGCAAAGAAACACTATTTATTAAGTGCCATACAATGGGATTAGCCAACTTCACTCTGCCATGGCAAGAATAAAAACCTGCAAAAGATCTGACCCTACATTCTTCACTTTAGCTTACTGAGCAATTAGCACAGGTGCTCTGGCATAAAAATGCGTTTATTCACTGTTGGGGAAGTATTTCACTTCCCATGAGTATTTTCAAATCCTTTAGATATTTTGCAGTAAATCATGTTTTTTTTTTGATACTTCGGCAGACTAGGAAAAAAAAAAGTATGTGCATGAAGTTAGATTTGAAAACCTAATAGAAGCAATCAATAGCTGAGAAATGTGTAGGAAATATGTTGTTAGAAAACAGGCAAAGAAAAAAAAACCCTTGATTTTTATTCTTGGCTGGCATACTATTATATCAACTTTCAATTTATATATAAACCTAGCAATATGATGGCTGAGCATTTGGATCTTGTCAAAAGGCTGATTTTCAAGATAAAATTTAATTGTACTTCTTCAGATTAATTGTTGTAATGTGATCGTAACATTGCTTACATAAAAGCTAAATGGAAGTTTTAATGTTTCCTTTCCAGCTGTATCACAATGTAACTCACTCCCAAAGCAAAGCAACTCCAATTTCAAAAGAGGCTGATATCCATACTCTCTCAGCTCTATTATAAACTGCCGTCAGGAAAAAACTGTAAACTGAAGCATTATTACTCTCTAAATTTATACCACACAGCAAGATTTTATATAGTTCCAAATCTATCATTTAGGTGAGATCTAGAATCTTAATACTTAGAATGTTGTTATGCAATCATGTTCTCACTCACAGATACTGGTTACCGGGAGCAGTAATGTATTTTGTACTGCCATTGTAAAGTTAAAAAAAAAAAAAAAAATCAAGTGACTGACTCATTAGACTGTATATTCTATGCATTTAAAATCCAAAAGAGTATTACCATAAATTTTAGAAATGTTTATTTTAGAAATACACAGAACTCAAAATGTATATTTTAGTCCAAACATCTATAAAGAAAGAGAGTGACACACTTATAGACACAATATGTATGAATACCCTTGCCATGATTCTAACACCTAGGTCACCTAGAAGAGGACATTTTGATTTGAAAAAAAAATTTTTTTGTATACATAACATAAATAGATAAATAAGATCATTTTCATAACAAAAAACTTAAAAGAGATAATAAAAGCAGTGTATCAAACAAAACTATTTTTACTTTTGGGTCAAATCCCACACACCGGAAAAAAAAAAAAATGCCTATTAATAGCTTTGCCGAAGTGCTTCAAGTGCTTTTAAGATTTAGTAAAGCTATAAAGTCTGTCAATAAATAAATTACGGGTTAATATGCTATGCAGTCCATCACAGACAACAAAGCAAGTTTAGCAGTTTTAGAACATTGCCTCATACTTTTTGGCATGATCATGAAAACTCAGTGACTGATCGACACATCATTTCCAAGGTCACCAATAAGGCCTCGGTGTGTACCCCAGGACATGCTTTCAAATTCTCAGGAAGTTCCTTGAGAATATTTGGGAGCTTCTGCAGTGTCTTTATGTTTCTACCATAAAGATCTAACAGCCAGTCGGTATGAGCACTGGTCGATTCTTTATAACTTTTATAAGCCATGAGCAGTTCATTCAGATGGGTTAACCCTTTGAAAGCTAACATGAACTCTGCAGACAAATCAAAAATTGAACAAAAGTTTAGCAACATCCTACTAAGTAAAAATGAACCAAATTCAAGTTGCTGGTGATGAAAATGTTTCTCTGCCTGGGCATGGAAGTTCTCCATTGTGTCTTCAACCTTCGTCACAGCAAACAGCTCTTCCTTGACTTGCGTGGATACCACGTAATCCAAGGGCAGCTCTCCCTTACAGTTCCTCTGCTGTAAAAGCACTGGGCCTATAAAAAAGGAAATGCTACATGTCAGGACATTTGTTTTAGCAGCTTAATAGCTGTTTTCTTTCCTTCACCCACATGACCCCCAAAAGGTTCAGGGTTCTGTTTACAATCACAGTTTGCACTAATTCATGTTGACATGGATAACATATATACATATTCAGTGCCACACACAGGTGCACCCAAAGAAGTAACATTCTAGTTAATTCCCCAAAGAGGTCTGCCTAAATGTTCATGCCTTAAATAGTTTTTAGGGCAAGAAAAGCTTTTATAAAACTGTGGTAAACCAAGCCTTTAAGGCTTCCCAGAAGAAAGTAAGAGCATACATTCTACTCATGCGCCTTGTCAGAACATCACCCCCAGGAAAAAGTGCTCGGTGTCCTGCTACACTGCTGAGCAGATCTGGCTGCAAGGCTGCAAAGGCTCACGTGGAGGGGGAAGGCATTTCTCACTTTACCCTTGCTTATATTCAATTTTTGGTACAAGTAACTCATTAAAAATATCAGGTCTCACCCATCTGTCCTACCTAAAGCCACTGAACCCCTTACTTGGAAAGTACTGAAGAGTTCATCGCCTAAGTAGTAAAGCATGATGTGAGAGGGCAAGCGCACTGCAAAGTTTAACAGCACTTGCACTCTGGTCAGTGAAGCCTTGAAACTCCTTACACGCCTGGCAATAAATACGTTACATGGCCTATAAAGGTTTCAGCACTAGCAGAGTCGTAACACAGATAATACTGTCAGAGAAAGAGAACAGATGATAACTACATGGACACTAGTCAGGCATAAACTGTGTCCTACATCTGAAATGCACGTAATAGAAATATTAACTGCTGATGATAAATACATTTAAAATAACTTTCAGAAAAAATTCTGAATCAAAATTAACTTCCTTTCCAGGCTAGTGTTGTAGTGTAACAGATCATTTTGCCTTTAAAATATGTAAATGAATAAATCTTTAAAAATAAAGTTCTAAAATACTTAAAGATAAAATTGTGGATAGAAGATGCCAAAAGTAAAAAAGGCTTTGGAAATAAATTTTTAGAATTACTGCTCTCAAGAGTGAGTGGCCTCTAACGCATAGGTAATGCAATTACTACAATGATAATGTAAAACCACTTAACAGGTCCAAATCTAGAATGCAGCTAAGGTCAGAATAAGTCTGTTTGCCCACACTGGTAAATGCAAGTGTAAGACTTCCCCTCCGAGGACAAGGAATTCATTTTTCTCTATTCTTCACTAGGGGCCCTAGAGAAAAAATTCACCGCAGTTGGTATCATGCCATACTCCACGAAGAGCTGCACTAACACCTTTAGCATCACTTATCCCCAAATAAAGCAACACCAGACACCAGCCTGCACGTCAGGTACATGGTTGAGTGCAAAAGTCAAACCCTTAGGAGGCCAAACATTATGGTTTAGTGAACATGCAATATTAAAAAAGAACATATCGATTATGAAATGGTGTCAGGACAACAGACACACCGAGCAAGGCCTTTAGGGGGCAGGAGAAGCCCAAAAATGAGCAACTGTCCTTTGGCGCAGTGCTTCATGCGGCACGACCTTCCACAGACACATTCAGAGAAAACGACACATCTAAACAAAACAGGCTTTTTGCTTGTACACACAAATGCTTTAATTATGTGATAAAGTCATGTAAAATTATAAGAATCAGTACAAATAAAATAAGAATTTATCCACATCTCTGTGTTGTAAGCTAGTCATCACTTTTCTTTTGCCTTTCTTTAAAACTCACGTCAGTTTTGAACATTTTGATGTAAAATTTATATTATTCAGTTCAGATGTAAGAGGAATGTCACAGAAAAGCAAAAGGCTTGCTGAAAGCTGAGTATTAAGCTGAAGGTACATCTTTCACAAAACTCCTACACAACAGTTACTACCTTCTACCAGCTTAACTTAATTGATAGCAAAATGTGAATGAAGAAAAATATTCTAGGGTATCTGTTTTTATAGTCTGTAAAGAAATGACTCATAAAAATAAGCCTGAGTTAGAGCCATGCACAGGAAATGAAACAAGAGCGAAGAAATCTCAGTAATCACAACTAAACATTTATATCCATCTATTAATAAGCTTTCAGAAATGACTGGCTCACAAAGATATTACACACTTGAAATAAAAGGATTACTATTTAAAACCAGCCCACTCCATTAAAAATATATATACTCTCATACTGGAAGCTAAACAGCTTTAACAACACATACATAATTAAATATATATATGTTTATATTTATATATATTTAATTATGTGTGTGTATATACATGTATATATTATGAAAAGGCTTTTGCCCCTACTAATAAAAGGTGTTTACATTTTAGGAGGCTTTTTCCCTTTATTTGCTCAGTAATAAGAAATGAAGGCATCTTTTCTTACAGATTTTAAATAAAAATGCTATGTACCTCTGAGGGATTCATCCAAAAACTGGATAATTTATCAAAATCCATTTAGCATAAATGCACTCACCCCCATGCTGTAGTAGCAGCTTGCCAATTTCTACGTGTCCGTTTGACAGTGCATCATGCAAAGGAGTCACTCCGTCCACTTGAGTGAGCAGATCTACCTCTGGACAACGTTGCAAAATTTCCTGGACACACACTGTGTTGCCATAGTTACAGGCTTCATGCAAAGGCGTCCAGCCAGCATTGTCTAAATTAGAAATCAAGGCAAGTTTTAAAACAGCAGAAGCAGGACTTCTGTAGTCATGTACTAATGTGTGACTTCTCTCATCAGTTTGACTTTCTGGGTATTCCATACACATATACTTTTTTTTAAAAAGTATTTCAAAAGATGTCTAATAAGTGACATGTTTACTTGTAAGAAAAATTAAATAACAAATTTAAAAATATTAACGATGGGATATAATCAAATACAGGCACAAAAATGGTTCTGAATCCTTAGCTATGAATTGATTAATTTCTTGGTTTTGCCAATGTCACTATTTTAAAGATACTTTAGGTAAATTAACTTAAACAATTTTTCTTAATGTGAAATAAAACTATTTAAAATCACAAATATTAAGACATTGGGTTAGACCAAAAAGATTTAGAACTTACCTTTAACATTGATGTCGATTCCTGGCAAAGACAGAAGAAGAATCAATTTCTCCACTTGGTTATTTATGCAAGCTCTATGCAGGGCTGTTTCTCCTGCCATAAAAAATTGATAATTATTCCAGAAAAGATATCAACTACAGAAAATAATCAAAGGGCATGAACTAGGAGATCTGGCCCCATGCCAGAAAATTATTTATTGAGTTTTCCTTTTCACCAATTTAAACATCTCCTGCATTAAAAAGGGGGTGGGGGGTATGGAAAGGAACCCCATTACTCCAGAGAGCTTCTGTTCTATCAGCAGTTCAGCAATGAAATTCTAGAGCAAAAGGGTTAATACAGGCTTTGTCTCCCCCTAGTTCAAGGTTTAAAGCTTTCATCCTGCTATAAAACCCCCAAATGATCACAGCACACCAAAAATACTGGGTTTTGAGCAATAAAAGTTTAGAGTGCAATTGCCCTCTCTTAAATTTATTCATGAACCTGCGTTAAATGTATGGCTCTTTTTTATGCTGCATTTATAGCTTAATTCAAATGAATGTTTCTGGCTAAGCACGAGTGCCTCTACACATTCAAGTATAATTCAGAACTTCAAATCCATTAACAGATGGTTTGCTGCTTTTCAATAGGCTGTCTGGCTTGGCTACAGCAGCTCAGAGAGGCAGAAACGGAGGATTCTTAATATAAACATAGTACACGTACGTACACACACATTCCCTCTTTCCTCCCAGAAAAAATTTCCTCGTATCATTTACAGCTGAACAAAAGTAGTCTTTTGCTAGGAGGGATGCAATTAGTATCTGCTAGCTAAAATTATCTATATTTAATCTCTGGTACAACCAAATTAATAGGATATAAGTAACAATCTTACGTAAAAAGAATTAAAAGAACAAAAACACTGTATATGATGGCTTAAGAACCAAGATGAAATACTGAATCGATTCTTGCTCCTGCTAGAAAATACTGAGTAGCACATTTTTACACATGATCTCTGCACCTTCTAGCAAAGCATTTCTTTTACATGCCTGGAAAAGCTTTGCAGCTTTTCTCTATTTCTCAATTCTCTTCCCCTCTTACTTCCTTCTGCTGTTGTCTAAAGTCATTCATATTCATTGTACTTTGTGAAACAATAAGGCAAAAAAAAAAGAATAATGATTTGTAAAGTTAATATCTGAGTTCTAATACATTTTCCATATTTTGAGCCACACGAGCAGTTATTCTGGATTTGTGATACACAATTATGAACTTACATCACGTTGAAAGATAAGAGCTGATTGTCATATTTTCCTCAAAAGTCATGATGTTATTAATTGTATCAGAAGCATGCTTTGGGTCATAAACAAGAGACTCAGCATTTTATTCTGGCCAGGTATTGCCTCCTGGAGTATAATTTATACTTGCAAGTTAAGAGGTGTCAAAGTAGAAAAGCTGCCAGAGTGAATTATTACAACAGGATTTTTGCTATTCCCTCGTTTAGGTGCTTAAGTTCCAGTATAGTTAGAACCAAAAGCCAAACACATTTCATAGTCTGGGCTCACTGCCTAGAAGAAAAGAGTCCATATGCCTAACACAGCTATGTAACATAGCCTACTCCTCATTCTTTGTTCACAGAATGTCTAGGACTGAAAGAGATGAAGACAGAATTATACTTTCAAATCAGAAGACACTCTAAGCAGTGCAGGTTGAAGTGGAATAGAAAAGTAAGGCGGGCAAGTCTGGAATGAGCTCAGTTAAGTGCTCCTTCGAATTCAATGTTTGGAAAGGCAGGGGAGAAAAGAAAGGAAGGAATGCTCCACTCTAATGGGTATTAGACAATCGCATTCTTTGTCCAAATGACAGTTATCCAGGAAGATATCCTGATTTTAGTCCAATGTTTAAGTGTTCATCTGGGCAAGTGTGTGAAACTTGCAGGCACTATGACCATCTAAACTTCTTAGCATAAATTAGAGACTTGGAATACCTTTCAGATTAGTCTTATGAAAATTCATCTTAGTAACTAAAGAGGGGCAATTCTCCTTGGAACATGACAGTTCCCCTTCTGACTTCTTTTTCAGCTTTTTTAATGATGAGGAACATTTAGAAAGGTTTCGTTCTCTGAAAGTAAAGAAAGAAAAAAACTGAAGTTATTTTTTCCAGCAAGGCATGCCAGCATACTTTAGAAGGCATTAAATTTGTTTTCCCTTTTTTTACTTAATATCACTTTATTGAGCTGCTTATTTTGACATTTGTTATTATGCTATTACATGACAGTATTAAAATGTTTTAAATTTTGTGTCAACTATACAAAGTTTAATGCATGAATTTCACTTTATCACATCCCACCATCTTCTATAAGTTCATACAGAATGTGGGATAAAGAGCAAGAGTCCAAGTAAACCATATTTAGTAAAGAAAACAAAACAGAAAAGAAAGAACAGAATGCAGGCTGCTGTACCCCTTTTTTGTCTTCACATTCTAAACTTATTCCTTTCTTCCTTTCATAGACAGTTCAGCTTTTTTGAATCTGTATATATTTCCAGAGGAAGCTCCTTGTTTGGGTGAATTATTAACATTTAAAGTAAGTCACATTCCGGAAACTCATTAACATTACTGGAAAGTAGTACATCAAATTATGGGGCAAAAATTGTATAATACAATTTAATGAACAGTTTTATTCCTTTTGAAAAGCACTTACTCTTTTTAGAGAAACTGCACACACTTTGAACAGAAATGAAACAAATTCAGGTCATGTGTACTTATGGGTCTGAAACTGAGTTTTCTTTCTAATCAATATAATTCAGACAGTACCACAGATACACAATAAAGGCGTCAAGAAGTTACAGCTCCAAACCAAGCACAGTTGGGACATGAGCATCGCTTACGGTAACTCGGAAAGCCCTTCGACCTGCTTCCGTTTAGCACCATTCAACATCAGTAGCGCTCTCGGAGATTCGAGGCAAGGCCGCTGTCCTATTTTCTTTGGTTTCTGTATCTTTGCACTTCCATGCACAACACCAGTTTTTCCCAAAGCTGGCAAATAGGAATATACCTGTTGCAAAGGAATATTATTTTCTCAATTACCAAGAAAGCAGTACAAAGATCTGGAAGAAGACAAGAATACTGCATTGTATCCTTCCATCTGGATATGATAGTCTCCATTACAAAGTAAATGAAAAGTCACAAAGAAAATCAACAGGAAGAATAGACATTTACGATGCCATGAAGTTAAATAACACGCTACTGAATGACTAAGGTGTTGCTAAAGAAATGAAAAAGACAATCAAGAGCCTTCTTGAAGAAAATGATGCTACTGTATGACCTAGAGTCACTGAAGAATATGAGAAAAAAATTGTTTTGAAGAAATGAAACTAAAAACAAAAACATCAAAACCCATGGGACAGAGTTTGGTCTCGGACAGAGCTGATCTTCGTTAGTGAGATGTATCTCCTATAGGCAACAGACAGGTGGGTTTTGGTTTTTTGATCCAGTTCTCTAATCTATGATGTTCGATTGAAGGGTTTACTCTCTGCCATTGTCCATGCCTGCAATTATGGACATATGATTGTCCATAAAGAATTACATTATTATAATAATAATCAGTGTGGGGAGGGGAACTGGACAGGATTTAAGGGAAAACTCAGAAGCTCTAGAACTGTATCACCAAATAGTAATTTTAAAAAATAGGGAAAAAAATTAAAGCTAAAAAAATAAAGCACATTGTAGCAGAAGAAGAAGAAAAGATAGGAAAAGAGGAGGGAGGAAACAAAACTATCATACTCTTGGAATCACATCTGAAATTCATGAAATATATTCTGTATGTATCAATGAAAATTAATAAAAATATCAGACATACAAAAGAATATAGTGAAGGAAAAAAGAGAAATAATATGTTTTGTAATTGAGTTTCTAAAATCACTTCTTGGATGTGAAAAGGTCTAGAGTTTTAATGGTGCTTACCATTTTCTGGAGAGAGAGAGGCTCTGAGGAAACACTGATGGAGCTTTGTAAACATAGCTTCTTGAAGACTGCCTCGGCAACAAACATTTGAAGCCAGGAGGAGGAAAAGGAGCAAATGAAAACCTCTAATTCCTGTGAAGAAAAGTCTGCAGAAACAAGAGAAGTAAGTACTCCCAGAGCCCATAAAATATTTTTTGTCTAGGCAATTTCCTCAGTATATTTTATTCATTCACATCATGGCTTTTGTATCAGTACGACTCATCCACATAACATGGCTAATATATTTTAATGACTTGCTTTCCAGGAGAAAACTTTTTAATGGTACATGTCCTCATACTTGAAAAACAATCATTACGTTTTACTATGTCAAGTAAAGACTGGATAATAAATGAATATACAGATATACATACAACTTTATCTGTCATTAGTTTCCCAAATAACAGTCCTTCCTACAACAGGATTGTTCCTTTGGAAAACCAGTGCTTAAATTTTAAAATAATCACACAAGGATGGACTCTACAATGATGAGTCCTAAGCTGACTAGAGTCACTTCTCTTCACTGCAGCTTAAGTCCTAGCCCTGGCAAGGCAGTGCGAGGCTCAAGGGTAAGAGCGTACAGGAGTGGAGGAGGATATCCTTATAAGTCTGCACTCTCTCCCGTGATGGTTGGGAGACAACTGTAAACAGTGAAATAAGCAAGCAACAGAAAATCACGGAGAATCTCACATCTCTCTTTTTAAACACTTATTTATTTGAAAGGTATAGCTGCAGTGAGAGACAGAAGGGGGAGAGGCATAGAGACACAGAGAAAGCTCTCCCACCTGCTGGTTCATTCCTCAAATGGCTACAAGTTAGAGATGAGTTCAACTAAAGCCACTGCTAGCAGTTTCTTCTGGGTCTCTACATGGGCAGTGACCTGAATACCACCGTCAGCTGTTTTCCCAGGTACATAACAAGGAAGGTAGATCAGAAGGGGACACGGGATGTTGGCACTAAGGCAGCGGTGACGTCAACTGCTATTCCACAACGCTAGCTCCTCACACATATTCCTAAAAATACTCCCTTTCCGATTCCTCATCCATATATCAGCGAGATCAACAGCATTTTCAAACTGTCACATCCATCTGGGCAGAACCTTTGGCACATACACCATTGTGACTCTGGGTTGATCTTGGGTGGCCCTTGTCCATCCTTAGGTACTGGGATGGTTGGGAGGCTAGGTATGGCCTACCCCCTATATCCCCCCCCCTCCAGAAATGGGAGGAACAAATAAAAAGCTTGGAAACAATGATCACATCCACTTCTTCCTAACCCTATATCCTTCTCATCCTGATCGACTATGTAAACATCATCTAAACAAACCAAAAACATAACAAATGAAAAGCCTCCCTTCCCTCTCTTTTGGCCTCATTCTGGCCCCTTCACACAGTGCTTCCTATCAGCCAGGCACCAAGACATCGCAGGAGGGTGCAGCTTGTGCCGACCTCAGAGTTTGGTAAATGTTTTTGCCTGAATTAAACTGTTCTCTGACAGCCAAGCTTCCACTTCTCCTTCCAACTGTGTGTCCTTGATTCCCCAATATCACAGTCACCACTCTCAAGAGCCAGGCTTTCTTGTCTGAAGAATTTATCATTTAAAAATGATGTATTTACATGAACTTAATTGTAGTTTGCATCTCCCACTGACAGTTCCAAAAAAGGAAGGAGTGTTTTATTTCTCCCCTCCACTCTACCGAGTGTTTAGCTATTTGAATCTGGTAGAATGCCAAGAAAAATTTGCTGAATAAACGAAGAGAACAGAAACATTTTGACTGAGACAATGAGGAAAAATTAAAAATTTATATCTATGAAAGAGGTTTGAAACACAGAAAACATTAAAGAAAAGTATCCAAATAGTAATGATACAATCAAAGAAGAGCAAAGGAAGCTTTATTAAAATTATCTAAATAAGAGCAAACTAAATTTCCTTTTCCTGATATGACAGAAGAAATGAGTTCAAGTCAAGGCCCAGCAATTGACAGGTTCTGGCCCGATTTAAACAATAAAGTTCCACTGGGACACAGCTGTGCTCACTTCTTTATACACTGTTCATGGCTGTCTTCTCACGGCAACTGTGGAGCTGAGCAGTTGACACAGAGACCATAAGGCTCAAAAAGCCAAAAATACTTATGATCTGGTACTTTACGTTAAATGTGCACTGTGGCACAGCACACTAAACTGTCATTACCTGCTTCCCACATCCAGGCAGTTTTGAGTCTTAGTTACTATGCTTCCAATACAGTTAGTTCCTGCTAATGGGTCTGATGATGGCCAAAGTACCTGGGCTCCTGCCACATAAGCGCCAGAATCCGATAGAGTTTTAGGCTCCTGGCTTCGACCTAGATCAACTGGGACTCTCTGGGTCATTCAGAGAGTGAACTAATGAATGGATTATGTGTCTGTGTCTCTCCCTGTCACTTCTCTGCCTTTCAAATAAATATATTTAATTTTTTTTAAAAATTTTAGATGTTTTACACAATCAGGGTGGGAAGGATCTAAGGTTAGGGAGAAGTGGGTATGCGAAATACACTTTAACAAAAGTTCACTGACCATTTGGCGAAGCCAATAAATCACAGATTTGTAATCAGATGTAAAGCAAATCTGAAGTTAAACTTAGAACATAGGAAATCCTTCTGTGTCCAAAGTGTTTGTAAATAAGAGAATGGCACCTATTTGGAATTCATAGATTTGATAGAAAACAAGATCTGTGAAATATCTAAAGCTTTCTCAGCAAAACAATTATAAACTAACAAGCAATGACATCAAACTAAAATTTAATTCAATAGACTAGAATTCAATTCAATAGAATGAACTTTCATATTAGGGAAAATCAAAGCACTCAATTTACCATAGTGTGAAAGATGCATAATTATCTTCAACTGGAAGAAGTATAAAGTCAAGTCATAATAATTTTACTAATGACATTGGAAAAGCAAACTATACTTCATGATTTAAGAAGTAAATCAAGGAATCTTTAAAAGGGGACATTTACAAGGAAGAATTAGAAAATAAGGACACAAACAATGATTTTCATTTTTTTCATCAAAATATGGACACTTAGATTACCCAATGGTAAAAGTAGGACATGCTACAAACTTCATAATAAGCAAATCTTCCAATGTTGCATATTATCTACAGAAAATTACTGCTTTTTAAAAGCAAAATCTGTTCATCCGATTTCTGTCTCCTGACAAAGGTTAGACATTATGTAGTGGGCAGATACAAAACCTACTGGTTCACTTGTTCAGACACTTGCATTCCTTGTGGATATGCCTGGGTTCTATACCCTCCTCTGGGCCCAGGCTACAACCTCATGGTAACGTAAACTTTGAACCAGGTTCCTTTCACCCCATGGGAGACCTCCATTCAGTGTATGCACTGCGCTGCAGGTATTTGAAAAGTAAATGATGAGAGTGGTCCATCAGCCTCTCTGTGTCTACCTCTCAAAAAATTAAAAAAAACAAACTATGTTAATAGCAGAATATAAGGAAGACAGTATGTGATTTTGGTTTCTGTAGCCTATGGAATCAACTGTGTGTTTAGAAGAGCTTGAAAAGGCTTAAACATGTTTTTTTAACGAGCAGCATAATTTAAAAACCATATGGGTTTTAAATATTAATGACCAAAAACAGACCAAAGTATCTGTAGTGGTTAACCACGTTGTAACAGTAACACTAAGGTCACATTTCAGCTAGAATCAAGTCAACAGGCTCAAACTTCTAGGGACTAAATCTCTCATATGAAAAACTAGGATTCACACTGGTTAGCAAGAGCCTAGTTGAAAATAAATGATGGTGGAATTTTGGCCTAGTGGCTAAGACTCAGGGATTCCACATCGCAGGGGCTGTTTTCCAAATCCACTTCTGACTCTAATTCCCTCTCCCAGGCAATGTGGACCCTGGGAAGCAGCAGTGACAGAGTGATGTCCTCCAGTAATTGGACTGAGTTTCCAGTTGCTGGTTTTTGTCCTCAGCCCAGGGTCATGGCGGGCATTTGTAGGGTAAAACAGTGAACAGGAGGTGTCTTTCTCTCCTTCCTCATATTGTCTCTCAAATTAAAAAAAAAAAAAAAAAAAAAAAAAAGGAAAAAAGTGAAAAAAATTCAGAATAAGAATAAAGAAAGTATTGAGGCCAATATGTAACATGTAATAGAACCCTATTTTAATTCATGCTCTGGCTACACTATAATTTATTTTCCTTAAAGGCAATTACTGCCTACAATAAACTACATAGCTAGCTATCCTGAGAGTCTGTAAAGCTATCATGAATCTTGTCATGGTTCTCCCAAACTCAAAGATGTTTCAACATGGAATGAAAACAGGGAGCTCTTTTAGCCAAATATTTCAGTTTTCATTCTAGCAAATAATGCCGGAATTCTATTTCTGAAAAGAATAAAAAACATTACCTACTAGGAATCGTGAGAAAGAAATGATAAGAACAGGTTTGAGGAAGATTGAATCTGAGGCTAAGAAATGTTAAAAAGTCACCAACAAAGGCTAGCCAGTTCACAAAAGGAACAGTAATCACTCCTCTTGGCTCAATGAAAAGGAAAGAGAAAAAGAAAGGAGATAAAATGCTTTAGATAAAAATCTTCTTTAGTAATATAAAAAGAGACCTCTCTTTTCATAGGGTATCATGGAATAAATCCTGAATCCAGTTATAACTTGGATTCTATTCCATACTCTCTCTTCAAAGTATTGAAGTGACTGACAGCATATTCAGGAGCTTTTTCAGTATAGAAAACCAAGATGCACTCAAACACATATGTAGTAAAACAGAATCTGGCAATCTGAAATACTAACAAACACACAGATAATATTTTTAAAAATATTTTAAAGTCTCAGAAAGCTTACTTGGTACAAAATATGTCCATCCTAGGAAGTTAGTATTAATGAAAGAAAGGCAAGGGAAAGGTGGGAGAAAAGGCAGAGACTTCCACATGTGGGTATAGAGTTGGGTGAACTTTCACAGAGAGAGGGCTCTGAAAACGAGCTGTCATCGCAGTGCTCCAATCACAGGGCTACCACTACCCCCAAAGATTGTCAAGTGCACTTCTTAAGGAGATAGTGGGAAGAGGACAAAGAGGTAAGACTGTGTGTAAGATTACTTCTATCTACTTCCCCATACTAAATTTTTCTTATGGTACCAAGCTCAACACCCTTCTCTATTATAATGAAAAACGACCCTGTAACAGATATGTGATGAAACTGTTCTAATCAATCAGATAATCCAAATCAACACAAGTGCTTTACAACAAATAGATTTTTTACAATGTCATTTCTAAATACCATGATGTGGTCATGTACAGAAAGACTCAAGACCTGTGCATATGGCACAAATAATATCAGGCATGACTGTTCAAGTAGAATGACCACGAGTACTGAAAAGTGTTCTTAACACGCAAATCTAAAAATCACACATAAATGAATAAACATACTTCTAGAATAAAAACAGAAAATAAAGTAACTATTACTATGTGGGGGAAGGTTTCTCTAAAGTTTAGAGGCCAGCAGAAATGCTCAACTACATATATAATATGATATATACTATAGGAAAATGCAAAGAAACAACCAGACATTTTAATCTTGGTTATCTGTATGAGAGCATTTGAGTCATTTTTATCTTCCTTTATATATTATCTGTGCATGTACTGATAATTATTTTAAAGAAAGCTTCATTAAAAACATATGTTAATGATTATAGTTCAAAGGAAATTAAAAACCAAATTCAGAATGGGACCAGGAAAACGGCAAAGTGGACAGGCTTACCGTCACAGGACAGGGAAACATAGCTTCCCAAGTCATCAGACATGTGTCGTATCACATTTCTACCCATCTTCAGACCAAGAAAGATCCAATAATCTATCGCAGCCCCAAGAATTCCAGTCAGTAAGTAAGCAAGCTCATGTTTGAAGACCTAATGCAAGAAAAAAGAAAGATGTTACTAACACATATAAGAACAAAGGATTGCTTGTAGTGCGTTTTTATACTTGTTGAGGTAAAATTTATCTCCCTGAAAACACAGGACATACTAATGAAAAAGGGTATTTTGAAGAATCTTAGCCATCGTCTTCTCCCTTCTTCCGCAGCCACCTTTCCCTCCCTTCCTCTTGGTATATACACGCTCTCCTATGGGGATCTCTAGGTCCCTCTATGTGTACACAGGTTTAATAGTAACTACTTGAGGTGACTGGAACCAGAAATGTTCCAGAGCTCTGAATAGTTGAATTCATGTGATAAGATATCTAGCAGGATGACATGAGACTAAATAAGAAATTCACTTGTTCCATATTCATCTTCTATGTATAATTTCTATAGATCATTTTATACAATACCTTGAATGTATCTGCATTTTGACTGTGACCTGTCCCATGAGGTCAGTGTGAAAGTTTGTATGTAGCATCGTACTGTTACTCAGTTTCGAAGTTTGGAGTAATTTGGAGGTTAGACTTTTCACATCAGGGATGCTTACCCTGTGTGATTGCATAGTTAAAATATGTCTAGGAACCTTAGAAATAAGCTTTGAGCTAACTTTAAAAATTGTATCTGAAGATGTCAAATGCTTTAATTAGGAAATAATTCCAGAAAAAATATGAAGTAAATACGTGGCTTCCATGAATTTGTTAAGAGGAATATATGTGCATAACAAAGAGTTGATCAAGCCACAAACAGACCTGTATATAATATTTTCATTATATAAACAATTATCTTTTATATTTCAGTAACATTCTAGAAAAAGGCTACAGAAACACAACAGAATCTTCAACAATGTATTTGCTGTAAAGAATTACATTTGCATTTTCATCATTAATTATATCATTTTACTTATACATCAACTTTTAAAGTCTTGTCATTTCTATGATATCAATAAATTCTTTTTCTTAAGATTTGTTTATCTTTATTGGAAAGACAGATTTATAGAAAGAAGAGACAAAATCTTCCATCCATTGATACACTCCCCAAATGGCTGCAATGGCCACAGCTGAGCTGAACCGAAGCCGGGGCCAAGAGCCAAGAGCTCCTTCTGGATTTCCTTTTGGATGCAGGGTCCCAAGGCTTTGGACCATCTTCTATTGCTTTCCCAGGCCATAAGAAGCAGCTGGATGGGAAGTGGAATAGTTGTGACATGAAATTGCACTCATATGGGATCACAGCACCTACATAGTGAGGATTTAGCCATCAAGTCATCATACTAGGCCCTCCATGTTTCCTATAAGACACTGAGGACCTTATAAGAATTATTGAGGGCTCCTGGCATCAGATCGGCTCAGCTCTGGCCACTGCAGTCATTTGGGAGTGAACCAGCAGAGATGGGAGTTCTTCTGGTCTCTCCAAAAAAATGCTCTGCCTTTCCAATAAAAATGAACAAAGCTTAAAAAAAAAAAAAAAAGGAAACCATGTAATTCTTAGAGTAATTGTGCTTTTTTCCCAGTGTTTAATTTTTCTTCAGATAAACAATTTAGTATAAAATATGAAGAGGTGTAAAAACAGTATTTTAAAAATACCTTTAATTTAAATGTAAACATTTTTTTTTAAATAACATTAAAACTAGTTGAAATTCCTGTGTTCCTGGTGTTTGTTGCCTAGGCATGCTGGATGTGTAAAAAAAAAAAATCATTAAATAGAAGACATCTGAAACAGGCTTCTAAATGCTCTGGTATCCAACCTGATTGTAGCTGCTGTGCTTGCTATGATGCCATGTCTAAATCAAGAACAGTAACAGAGAAATGCCTTACACTTTGAATCCTGAATGACAACTGCCCCAAGCAAACAAGATTCTTACAGATATATACAGTGTTTGCACAGGATGCAATTCCTCACTTTAAGTAGCTATTAGGTAAGTGACTTCAAATTGGAAGTCCATGTACAAACACAGGCAAATGGTGACACATTCACCAGATTTGTTGAAACAGTGTTTAAGTGAAGGAAAACCTACAGAATCATGATCAGCAACAGGTGCCCAGCCATCTTCTTGCACTGTGGGCAATGTAGTGCATTCTGTCAAGACTGAACACGGGAATCAAGGATCAATTCTGAGGGCTGAGGAGATTCTAAGCTGAATGATTAACTCTAAGAAGAAATGCCCTTCTGATATGATCAGTGGCCACGAAGGACAGTCTGATGCTGCCAGAATTAAAATTTATGTGTGCATGTTAACCACTCCTGGTTTCAGCCTGGTAACCGTTGCTGTGGGGCATGCAGAGAGCAGAAGCTGGCAGAGTGTGGCCAAAGCAGCAGCACAGTTTCGCTTTGCGTCATCTGGATTGCTGGGGACCTTTGCCGACGTCCAGGGAATTTTGTAAGACAACATGCAGTATTCTAAAAAACCCATCTAGCCAAGCAAGTTAATTTTTACCTCTTAATATTCAAGTTATGAACACAAAATAGGACAGTAAAAATGTATGCTTAAATTATCAAATTGATGGTGTCTATTTGCACATCCAAGAGTGTTCTTCCAACATAGAATGATTTGAGCATGAATAATGACAGCACGCAGGAAGGGAGAGAACAGCAAACCCTGTTCTCTGGAAGTAGTCCCCTACCATACTGGACACAGTCAGTCAGGATCACCGAGACCCCAGGTCCAAGATTCTGAGTGGGGAAGGGTGCTGGCTCACTGAATTAAGCCTCAAGGGAAAACAACTGAGGACTTCATCTAGTAAAGGAAGCATTAAAGTCAACCAGGTGGGATGTTTCAATTTTCCTTACACAAATATGTATATCTACACTTCAAAATGCAACAGGACCTTCACATGAATACAAAGTTTGCCTCAGTACTGATGTCACTAAGCAGAGAGGTAAGAGTTTCTAGTGACTTTGAAAAATGACCATAGCTTCTTTACCACAGTAAGAAAGATCCTGTTTTTATCTGTGTGTCACCAGCTAAACATGCCCAGATAAAGATGCCACTGCATCAGGTTCCTGGACTCTTTTAGACTAATTTTGTGGCTGTGGCACTCATCATCACCAGGGTTAACCGATGCTACTATCTCCAGCAGGGTACAGGTACTTCAGAAGTTGACTGAGAGAAAACGGCAACTGAACCAGCAAGATAAAAAAGCATTCTGAGAACACTGAAATGTTTGCTAATATGGAAAGAATGGAAAAAAGTATGCTAAAAATTAACAAAGAAATAAAATACATGATTTGCACATATGACATACATTTACCCTAGAATTCCTTCCTAGTATGTTAAGCTCCATTAGCAGACGTTCTGTCAATACAGCTCCCGACTACCTGGCAGCGCATGTAACTTCCATTTTATAAACTTGGCCATCTTCCAGAAGTAGAGTGCTCTGTAATGTATATAAACCAGCATCCTGGCTTTCTGACTCCCAGGGTAAGGATTTCCACAATATCTCACACTGCAGGAGACACCGTGCTGCTAGAAACATACTAACATGACGCACATACTGTGCCTTTTCCTGTTTTAAATACTGACATTTCAAACACAGTGCAGACTTGGCCTCCAGGCAAGGCATTGCCCTAACAAGCTGTGACACCTTGAATAAGTTGCTTAAACTCTTTAGCCTCACTTTTCTTACCTTTAAATACAATCTAGCTTCCATTTCCACTCAACATTGTAGGATCATCCCTACACAGCTTTTAAGGACATCCCACGGCAAAGCAGGACTAATGCTCAGGAAGAAGCCAAACACACATCTCCTCGAGGACCTCAACACAGCGCACCTCTGCTCCTTGCCAAGGGAAGCCCAGAGCAGTCTCAGATTAATGACAATGAAACTCACTGCCATTGTGTCACTCTGCAGTGCTTGTTGATTGACATTATGACAAAACAATATTAGCATAAACTGAGGACTTCTGTTTAGCTAATGACTTAAATTGAATGCTTCAACTCAGCAAATCAAGAAACAAATGCTTTACAGTGCAGAGAATGAGGTCTGTGAACATGCATGGAATTCTGGAAACTGGAAACTGCCAGAAAGATTTAATTAAGTGCAAGAATGAATGCTAAGAAAAAGGTAACAATAAAAAAAGCCATTTATGTGAATTTAAGCAAATTAAAATGTTAAATAAAATATTAATTTGCAAAATTTAAAACCAGCTCTCATATTACAACTAATGCTACAATTTATTGCAGGCTGCCTAACAAGTATGTTGCTTTTATTTCTAAATTTGAACAAAACTCTTCCAGTTAAATATGTATCAATCTGTTACTATTTACATCAGTGCTTCCTGAGTAATTTCTTTTCTGTGGTAGGACTTTGATGCTTCAGTAAATTATGAAAATGTCAGGTTCACTGTTTTCAGTTATAAATGAGCAATTTCATTTATGTAATCAAATGGAAGAAAAAAGAAATACTCCATAATGAAGAAATACTTTATATCTTCAATGGTTCTATAAAAAGTAAATAAAAAGGCAGATGGTAATTTACAGGAACGCTATCAGTTTCAGCTGAGAAACACTAGTCAGCTGGCAGAGGTACAGAGTTCTATTTGAGCATTTCCGATGTTGAGACGCTGGCGTAACCATACAGCATCTGACTCATGAACCACACAGCGCCTACTCACCTAGTCACTGTCACACAATAAGATTATTTAATCACAACAAAGTCTAGTCATACGTAGGAGGCAACCTGCCTTGTTCTAAGGGTGATTTACAAAAACAAATTAATGCTCTCCAAAGAATTTTATCTTTAGAAATATATCTTAGACATCCATTAAGGCAATTTTATTTTGAAAATGAGCAAGGACTTCTGTTTATGGTAAAGGGTTAGGTTAACTCAGTCTTACAGAATGAACCTAACAAAACTGGCTAAGATATGCAAAACACCTCCAGAAATAGTTAAGTTAGGGGCAACTGCTAGGCCAAGACTTAGAGAAAGTAAAGCCGGTGGTGAGGCACTCAAAGCCAGCTGACCCCACCCCAAGTATCGGCTCATTCCATCCAGAGCTGAGATGCAGTACGATGGCTTATGGGCCCAGGGGAAAAGGGATTTAAAGACATTTTAAAAGCCATAGCCCAAGACCTTGAAAACTTCACGCTCAGACTAGGTGAAATAAAAAGCAAAACCACATGCACTGCAGCTCATGACTTGAAGCACTTGGAGCAGCCGGCCTCCTCAAACACAGCCCCTAGATTAGGAAGGTCTTCACTAGCAGCACACCCAGGCACTCAGCACAAGGTGACAGAAGCACTGTAGGACAGTAATTTGTGTTCTGGTTTTTGCCAGAAACTGCTCCTACAACTTTTTCAAACGTAATTCAAAGAATGTGGCAAATGATATACAGCTCAGATGATAAACTCAGACTGAAGAATAGCAGAAATAATGCTAGAAATACATCCAAAAGACCTCAGACATGAAACAATGACACAGATCATACAATAACCATTACTGCCAAGTTTAAAGACAAAAGAAAACCCCGTAGTTTTGCAGGAAACAATACAACATAAAAATGTCATAGTAAGTACAAAAAAAAAAGCTAGAAAAAAATACAAAAATTTCAAGAGAACTGTAATGTATAAACCAACCACAACTGAATGTAAATGAACAGATCATTAACAGGGACAGGTGTTTGCCTGGACACTGTGGCCCACACTGGCAGCCCGGGACCTACTATGCAGATCCGTGGGGCCAGCAGACATGGATGTCCAGGTGCCCGAGTTCTTGCTACCAATGGAAAGAGACTTAGAATAAGTTGCGGTTGAGTTCCAGGCTCCCAGCTTCCGTGTGGCACAGAAAGGTGGTTTTAAGAATAAACAAAACTTACTAGTAATTAGGCCTACCATCATATACATTAATTCAGTTAGTCATAAATTCCTTGTGAACTGAAATGCATAAGAGTTTAAAAAAACATCCGGAGTGCTAACCATAGACTTGGTAACCTGAACAACTGAACACCTCTCCCTGGCTGCTGCATTCAAATGTGGCTTCACACAGAAGCCAACCTCCAAGGACCTTTTCCCTGAAACTGCATAAATAGAAAACACTGGCACATTTGAATAAAGGGACTATGAACAGGCGAGGCAATTTTAATTAGACATCCCTCAGCATCCCAGGTGATTAGTTCCAAGATCCTCCATAGAAAACTGTCAAGGTTCCCTAAAGAAAATGGCTGAGTATATGTGTAAAACCCGCAATATTCTTGCATGAACTTAATCATCTCTAAAGTGCTTACAGTGCCTAATACAGCATCAACGGTGTATAGCAGCTGCTATATGATATGGAGACATACAGTTGAGTTTGTACATACAGAGATGTAACTTTGAGTATTTTAATCCAAAGGCACATAATCTGTGAATAAGAGCCAACTGCTCTTTGCCCAGACTATTCATTTGTAAATTAATCCTACTTACATCATTAGACTTGCATTTTTGTTTGTGAGAATATATGGTCCATTCTAAAAGCATATTCACTGGTTTTGTCAGAAGTACAGAAGTCTCACTTCCTGACCAGAAGATTTCCAGAATAACTGCCTTTCCTGTTATTTTCAGACTCTCAGAATCTGACCAGTCACACAGCCTAGTGAAAACAGACCAAAAAACAATCTCAATACCCATTTGACCATGACAGTTAGTAGATAAATCTTTTGCTAAAGGCAAAACAGAGGTAGCAATTAAAAAATCTTTTATTTGAAAGGTAGAGAGAAAAGAAAGAGCGAGCGAGCGAGAGACAGAGGAAGAGATGGGAAGGGAAGGACAGATATGGCTGGAGACAGACCAGGTTGAAACGCGAGCCACCAGACCTCTCCTTTGGCTGGTAAGGACCCCAGTACTTGAGCCAGCACCTGCTGACTCCCATCCAGGAAGCTGACATCAGGAGTGGAGCCAGGACTCAAATCCAGGTATTCCAACACAGAATGTGGGATCCCAAGCAGCACTTAACTGCTATTCCAAAAATCCCTGCCAACCTATCAATTTTTCAAGACACAAAGATCATAATAAGGTGGGCCTGGCGGCGTGGCCTAGCGGCTAAAGTCCTCACTTTGAACACACCAGGATCCCATATGGGCACCGGTTCTAATCCCGGCAGCTCCACTTCCCATCCAGCTCCCTGCTTGTGGTCTGGGAAAGCAGTAGAGGACGGCCCAAAGCTTTGGGACCCTGTACCCGCATGGGAGACCCGGAAGAAGTTCCTGGATCCTGGCTTCGGATCGGCATAGCATCGGCCGTTGTGCTCACTTGGGGAGTGAATCATCGGACGGAAGATCTTCCTCTCTGTCTCTCCTCCTCTCTGTATATCTGACTTCACAATAAATAAATAAATCTTAAAAAAAAAAAAGATCACAATAAGGTGCCTACATCATGGTGTAACTGGTTAAGCCACTGCCTGAGGTGTCAGGATCCCATAGGAGCACCAGGTCAGGCCTTGGATACTACACTTCCAATCCAGCTCCTTGTCGATGTAACTGAGAAAGCAGAGGGTGGCCCAAGCCCGTGGTCCCTGCTACTCACAGGGGAGACCTGCATGGATTTTTAGGACCTTGGCTTCACCCTGGCAAGCCCTGGTTACTGTGGCCATGCTGAAAAGTGGACAGAAGGTTCTTTTCTCTCCCCCTCTCTAACTCTGCCTTCAGGCAAGTAACTGTTACCTTTGGTAAAAATGATTCATTCAACTGTAGTAAACACTTACCTTTGACTCAGATGTCGCACTTCACTTTCAACTAAATTCAGAAAAAATTTGAGTAGTGTCAAGTAGAGTACCTTAGAATCACTGATACTTTCAGAAATTTGATGACAAAAATTTTCATTGAAAAGGCAAGATCTGAAACACACAACCGAACAATTTACTTACAGCATATAATTAACCAAGTAGTTTTTTGGACAAAGTGCTCCTTTTTAGAATAGTTTAGAAAGTTATACAATTGTCACCAAAATACATCATGTTAAAATTATTCTAATTTCTTTTAAATATCTCATGACTCCTTAGTTCTTAACATAGATCTAATTTCCTATAAAGATAATTATAATATTTAATAACCACTAGGGTCTTTATATTCCTTATTTTATTAACAACAAATTATGAATTTCACTGCCTACCTTCGATCCAAATGACCAGTTACCTAAACTTTGAACTCAAAACATTCGTCATAATCCTACTAAAGAAAAGTCTATTTCTTTAGTAAATCATTATTTAGTAAATTAAAGTTATTTAGGGGTATTTAAAAAAATTTTTTTTTCTTTTTATTGGAAAGGCAGATATATAGAGCGAAGGAAAGACAGAGAGAAAGATCTTGTATCTGCCAGTTCACTTCGGAACGGCTGGAACTAAGCTGATCCAAAGCCAGGAGCTTCTTCCAGGTCTTAAGCAGGCATAGGGTCCCAAGGCCTTGGGCAGTCCTTTATTGCCTTCCCAGGACACAAGCAGGCAGCTGGATGTGTGAAGTAGAAAAGTTGGGATGTGAATCGGTACCCATATGGAATCCTGGTGCGTTCAAAGTGAGGACTTTAGCCACTTAAGACTTTTGCCCAGGGGTGCTTTCTTAGAATTTTAAAAATTCAATATTTAATTACCTTTCCATTTTTATGGCAATCCCACTGAACACTTGATGATCCCAGGTAACTTCTGTTAGACAGCTGAAAATATGGCTTGTGCATCAGAGAATTTATATTTTACACAGTTAATGTCAAATATCAACAGTCACGTGGCTAGTGGCAACTGTGTTGGACAAGAGTTCTACAGTGTATTTTCAAAGGGAACCTAACCAACTCCAGGCTAGGAGAGAATGTAAGAAATAATACTTATCTCTCCACTTCCTTACCAAGTGTATCAGCAGTACACATGTCACACTCTCTGTCCCCACCTTTCCTATCTTCTTTTTGAACACTGCATTCGCAGGTTAGGAGCATTCTTATTAGCTTTTAAATTTAATATTACTTGAATGTGTTTACAAATCCACCCAGTCCCATATAATTTTTCTGATAGTCTGAAAACTGCCCAAGCACAGGTAACATAGTTTTGCTTTTTAATTTAAATTTAAATAGATCTAATGGAATATTTCAAATCCATACAACAGTAGAGAGACTAACGCCCAGCTCATTCACAACCTATGTAATGAACTTCTAGACACTGTTGTTTATTAAAAGCCCAATTTTTGGCTGTCCAGATTCCATGTCCTATTCCAGTATTAAATCTGCTTATTAAGCAAGTTATTTTATATAATGAAGATGCAGCTATTCCACACTGGTGTGAACCACAAACTTGTAAGTCGAAAGAAATGACAATATTTAAGAGGTGGAATTTGAGTTGTATTTTAAAAGTTAACAGAGTTGGCTAGGTACGTACACACACACACACCCCTTCCTTACACACATACATAGGAAAGAGGGCAGGAGGACATACAAGGGAAAACAGTCAGCAGGGACATTAGGAAAGTGATGAAGATGAAAGTGGAGACACACAAGAGGGAAAATCCTCAAGGAGTATGAGCCAAGGAAGGACTTTAATCAAGGAATGATGAGAGTATTTTAAATTAGGGTACTCTGCAAGACAAGCTAAAGGTGAGAAAAACTGAATTAACGACAGTAAAATAGCTATAGCTGCAGTTTATGTAAGAAACTATGGAAGCTTTTAAATACAAGCAAGGGCACTTAAGGAAGGAACTGATTTGGAAATTAGGAAGGGTTCTAGCCATATGAAAATTCTCTCACAGTCCTGACCTAGACTGGCTAATACTGTTACAAAGGTATTACATGTTTACATTTCATACATTTTCAAAGCAAAGAATATTATACACACACATATATATGTATATATTTTTTAAACTGCTAAAATGGACCACAGTGCCTCCTGGTACACAGGAAGCATTCGATCAACACTTATTGCAACAGAAATTTTATAAAAAAATCCCTGCTAGTTAGTTAGATGAATTTCTATGATTTCAAAGACCCAACCAAAAGTCTAGCCCTTGCCTGGCCAATCAAGTTTCCTTCCCTTCCTATTAGTATGGACTTTCAAAAACAGAACAATTGGATATAAAGGTATTTCCTGACAAAGGAGGGCTATCATACGAAGAGAATTATTAGAGCATAATAGAAGAAAATGGTTAGTTCTGCTAGGGAGAAAAAAGAAACTGTAAGGATTTTTCTGGAGACAGAAAGACAAAGGCAGGGCCAGGCAGATGACAGCATGTGGAGAGGCATCAGCAACCTCACAGAGGAACCATCAGCCTGTGCCTCAGAATACATGAAAAAAAGTAACAAGAACTAAAACAGACACTGCACATAGCTATACATTTTTATATTCTGATGTCTAAAATTGATCATATCCACACTGAATTAATCACCTACATTTTAAAACCAAACAAAAACTCTTTTAAAAATCTGGTCTTTCAGTGAATCCACTTGATGAATTCACTGAACTTTCTGAAACAGCAAACTGAGAAACATGACTAATACAGACTTGCCCTTTTTATGACTTTTACCATGAACATATGAACCTACCCCACACACTCCTAAAAACAGAAGTATGCTTTCATGACTATCCAAAAACACATGCATATCATTATCAAGTGTCAAGATATCATTTAATATTCTCCCCGATCAAGTTCCTTACCTGATAAGTACTTCCACCAGGGACCAGGCTCCTTTCATACAAGTTGGACACTGGAATAACTCTAAGTAATATCTGGACATGGCTGGGGACTTCCAGGGAGGATGCAGATGAAGAAGAGCTGACAATACATGAAAGTATCGACCAGAAAATGTATCTATGTTATCCTGTTATTTAAAAATAAACAAAACAAAATAGCTTTACACATGATTTCACCGGATAACTCATTTTAAAACCACAACAATGCTACACTATACACTATACTTCTACAAAAAATAATTCCTTGTCTAAGGTACGTGTTTCAAAAAAGCAGAGCTGATGGCAAGTACCATGTTGAGCTAATCAAGTACTGCATCTGTAGAGGGACACTGCAAATATCCATCTATACGAGGTATTCCATACTAGCATTTGCTTACAGAAAATATCCATTTTCCATTTCATGACTGCAGTGAGATTAAGAGTTCCCAAATGTCACCTAAAGGAACTAAAGGTAAGAAGCTCTCCATGTAACATTCTTATTTATCATCAATGTTAACGTGACATGGTTTACACTTCATTTGTGTTCCCACTGGCACCTTGATAAAGAACATTGAGAAAGCTTCTTTGAAGAGGTGCTGCTGCTCTTGGTTCACAATTTCGGGAGCAGGCTCATTGCTATGCACAGTATGAATACAGAGGTAAGGCAGCAAATGGCATTCTCAACTACTAGAATCTGGTTTTCTGTTTGGCATTTTGCCATGTGAGAAATCAGGTAAGCTTTTTTTTTTCCCCATATATATATATATATATATATACACACACACACACACACATATATATGTGTGTGTATAATATTCTTTGCTTTGAGGAAAGTGTTCTTGACAATACAAGAGACCAATAAGCTACAGGTACTAGGAACAGAATCTCATACACAGCTAAAAAAACAGAAGAAAAGGCATGACACAGCTGGAAGCTGTATTTCCTAGAACTATCATAAAAACAAAACTCAAATTAAAAATCAATGATAAATTCCAAAAATGAAAAATGGGCACACTTCAACATTCCCTGAAAAGCAAAAATCCCTGTAGATATTTCTTACCTGTAGAACATTTTCTAGAAGAGCATGAAGAAGGCATACAGGGGGGATATATTGTGCTTGCAAGGAGGAAAGCTCCTCTATTGCTTCCTTAAAGAACTGCCCTTCTATGAGACTTTCAATTAAATTTAATACACCTCTGGGAAATTCAGTATTTTTAACCTAAAAAAGGACAGAAAGACTCTGACTCAAAGACTAGTAAAAAAATCTAATGATCAAATCTTGAGTTAGTAAGGAGCTTTAGTCCTCATCTATACAATGAAGATAATTCCTGCTGTCACTGTTTGACATGAAAGGTTATTATTTGGTTCATAAAGAATGATGTATATCAATGTGTTATACAACAAGGCAACGTAAAAATACGTATTACTGTCACATGCTTTTCTGTTATCTTAAATAGTAAGGGAAAATACTACCACTGAATAAAATCTTACATGACATTTGCAAGCTTTGGTCAACAAAGAGGTGAGGAGCTCAATGAGCTACCATTAAACAGTTTCATAGATGTAACACTGGGTGTATGAATTTACATAACTTAGCTGCATACAATATATTCCTTTGATCAAAATACTACTAATACTACTCAATCAGTTAATAGTAAATAACCACTTTGGATTAGCTCAGAGTCGAGAATATCCTGAAAGACTCCTTGGTGTAAAACATCCAATTTTGATACAGATCAAAAATATGCTTTTGCAAGCATTAGATAAAAAAACTGAATCTAAAATTGGTCACTGTAAAAGATATGAAGTTATGAGATACGACAGAAAACTGTTTGTCATGAGGACACAATAAGTTTTACAATATTCTGACGAGAACATTAACAGTATTCTACTTTTTCATTTCCAGTAAGAGAAACTGCATCTGAAATTTCATAAGAAGCTTCTGTTGTAAATTCTTTCTTAAAATCAAAATAGTTTAAAAAGCTTTTTTTGAGGGGACCCACAATACCATCCCAAGCCAAACTCCTTACCTCTGCATTGTACATGGGTTCTTTATCTATCCTAATGCAGTTGTATCTGACAGCCTGCAAAACAGTAACCACATAATTAAAATTTAACAATTTTAGATCAAAATATACATTTCACTTCACAAAAGTACAACACACAAAATAGATTCATAAACATTAAAAGCTATAATTAATCTGATACTCTGTGTTCAAACTAGTGACTTTGATTATTTTAGGCTAGTGACACTTTCCTCAATATGAATTTCTCTACTCCTTCTAAAAGAAGTAAATAAAAGCTAACGTCATAATCACTCTGAAGATCTGAAGAGGCACAGTCTATAAGGATCTATCGGAGAAAAGAGCCAGTCATGTTTTGCACCCAAACAGATGTAAAAGCTTTCTCTGTCGCTTTGAGACACCTAGGATTGCACAATTTTAAGATTATTCTTCAGGGATCGGTGTTGTGGTGTAGGTGATCAGGCCTAAAAGCTGGCATCCCACATGGGAGTTGGTTAGAGTCACAGCAGCTCCACTTCAGAACCAGCTCCCTGCTAACGTGCCTGGGAAAGCCCTGGAAAGTGGGCCAAGTCCTGCATGTAGATGGGAGACTAAGAAGAAGCTTCTGACTTCAATCTGGCCCCATCCCAGTCATTACGGTCATCTGAGGTATGAAACAGCAGGTGGAGAATTCCTCTTTCCCTCCTGTTATGCTAACAGATAAATCTTAGGACAAAAAGCATAAACAAAAAAAATTGTTAAGAGGTTAAAATTTTTTTAAAAAAAGATAAATCTGGTAAGAGGCTGAGGATGAAAAGCGATGCATTTAGTTAATGATACAGCAGGCTTTCAAAAAACTGGGAATCCTGAGTTCTTACCAGGTAAATTTACAGAAGAGCTGATGAATCTAATTGAGGCAATTTCTATCAAACATTCTAGAAACACACACAAAATAAGTAACATAATAGACAAAAACAATGTACGTAGGCAGCTGCCAAGGAAGATCTACAGAAACAGCAAGTAAAGTGGCAGAAAAATGCTCAAATCTGTTACCACCAGAAAAATTACAAAACAATGATAAATTTTCTTTTCTGTTTTGGACATATAAATTTAGAAAGAGGTGCTCCCACTCTAAGAAAACATTTGATAATCCATTGCACAATTTTTCTTAAAACCCTCAGACTGCAGAGGTTATGGTACAACCAATGGTACTGAAATAAAAGGGCATGAAGGACGTGGGACATGCGTACTGATTTATCTGAGACTGAACAAAAGGAGGCCTGAAGTAAAGAAGGGAAGAAAATTTCACCTAAAATTTTTAACCACTTGCTAAAGACCAGTTTTGTGTGAGCACAAAAAAACCTCTGAGAATCAAAAACACCAGCAAGAGGAGTTTTTACCAACTAGTGACTTTTCCCTTCCAATCTCATTGGGTAATCATAATAAAGACAGTACTTTGGAAAAGGTAGCAAGCCTTGTTATCTCCAACAAATAGGTGAGAACTTGAAAATTGGAAAGAAACAGGAAAAGACTGGGATTAGACTTCAATTGCTGGGAGAGGGACAAGATCAACGTCCAGGGACACAGGACCCTGGTCACCTGAAGGCAGACCATGACACCAGAGATCAACCAGCCTTCTCTTCCACAGAAGCACCCAGCAAAGTTACAGCAGAAAGAATACTGAGGTACAAATAAATAACAGCATTCATCATATTTACAAGATATCGAAATACATCACTCTGCACGACAGGTTATGAATGAAGAAAAGGATTTTAAACTGGATTGACCATATTAGCAAATCAATCACATTCATGCATGTGTAATTTTGTGTGTGTGCGTTCATCTATTTCAAGCATACTACTGAAGGATGGTGAATTATACAACATTTTTAGTGTACCAAGTCTTACCTGAGCTCTGTATATGTGCTTCTTTAAGGCATTTTTTACTTCAGTAATATCCGCATCTGCTCTGTCTTTTGCCCTTGATTCTTTGCCATAATCAGCAAAAAAAGAATTCTTCATTTCCTTTGCATACATGTAAAAGTACTTTAGACAATATAATAAAGATGGAACCAACACAGATGACAATAACAGATGGCAGAGTGCAAAAGGAACACAGGCAATATTAACCATAGCAAAGATTCTCAAAATCGTGGATCAACAGGACATCAAGAAACAGAAATGTAAAAAGCAAATGTATCAATCTGGAAAGCTTTACGTCATGTCTATATATGTACTTTGATAATGTACTTAATAAAACGATGACTACCAATGAAACTTATAAATAACTTGTACACTACAATACAAGATTCTCTGTACCACTGTTAGTGCTTATGTCACGGTACATTCAAATGCTACAAAGTTCCACTTGTCACTGTTATGAAGGGACTACACTACCGAGAAGAGGGGAAAACAGGGAGATAGGGAAGGGGATCGGAGCAATGAACGCTCATCTATATACTGCGGAAAACACAGATACAAACATTTTTTTAAATTTTAATTTTTACTTTGTTGCCAAGTTAACAAACACAAACTTTTCATCTGTCCTTTTCCTGAGGGCCATGCTGAATTTACACATATGGATCTAGTGTATCTATGATTCAAAAGCACTGAGGGCAGGGTGGGCTGGCCTGGGGTTCTGGAGGGACTGCACGCACATAGAGAGGGGACCGGGGCTCTGGAAGCACCGCACGCACTTAAGGTTGAGAGCACTGAGGCTGTGACTCAGCCTCAACAGGAACATCATGCATATTTCAACTGTATCAGATTATATTAATCTGACATCATAACTTACAGTGCATTTAAATTTCTGACTCTGACCTATGAAATATGTGTGACATTTTCTGCTTGTGGTGTCGCATCAGCACTCAAAATCTTTTGCATTTTGGAGCTTTGCAGATTTTGGATTTCTGGGTTAGGGATGTAAACATATAGTTGAGATTTTGAAAGTTCTACTCTGGGAAAATTGTGAACTAAGAATTATACTTCAAAAACAAACTTTTGGTTTGTATTATGCTGGGAAAGAAAAAGAAAGATAAAATTTACTGGAGAATATAATATGCAAATAGTCTTTTTTTCTTATTTTAAAAATTTCAGTCCCTTTTACAGAACCTTATCTTCAGGAAAAAGAGAATTCATCTGAAAATCCTTATAACTGAATTTTCTATTTAAACAAAAAACTTTCAGTGTGAACCAATGTTAATTAGAATATTCAATGTGAATCAACATTAGTTAGAACACATACTGAATATTAGGCTAGATACACTCATGAACACAGGTGGGTTATAGTTAACACAACAGCTAGTCACAAAAATCAGATTATATGTCTAACACATAATACAGAAGAGCCACAACAAAGTCTGAAACAACTTAGCTCACAGTCTCACCTGGTCGCTATAATGCATATGGTTTCTTAAGGTTCTTCTTATTTTGTCATGTTCGATCTCTTTTCTGCAATCAGTTTCTGTTTTTCGTTTTTTCCTCAAAGAATAATTCCGGTGAATATCTGGTTCTTTTTTCTTTTTTTTCTTCTATATATATGTCAGATCACAATTAAATCTTAATATAATGACATGTTATATATCCAAATAAAATAAAAAACTAACATTAAAAAATAAAAGCTATATACAGCAAGAAATTTCACATACTGTAGAGTATGGCATAACCTGTTTGGAGAACAGGTGGCTACTGCCCAGTGTCGCTGCACAAGCACAGCCCTGAGGCCCGTCTGATTCCTAGCAATACACCCTCAGCTACACATGACCAAATGTGTGTGCCGAGGGTCCTAACAGACAAAGGTCCCAAAGCCACCAAAACAAATGCACAAGCCAAGTTGTCAAACCAATTGAAACTCAAATGCTTGTCAATAATAATGGTGAAAGACACTGTTTTGGCATAAACAAACAATGAAATAAAATACACACCAGCAAAAACCATTTATAAACGGGTATGACATGCAGAATATTAATTAACAGTTAAAACTAAGTAGTGTATTTTAAGGTTGCAAACAGTAAGTAGAACTAAAAATATAAAGCAAGAATATAATTAACACAAATTTTAAGTTAAAACTTGCTTCTGTTAAGAGGATGAAAAGGAATGCACTTAGTAAATGGTACAGCAGTGTTTTAAAAAACTGGTAATGTTGAATTCTTAACCTTTCAGGCATGCTTTGTAAAGTCTTAACACTTGTACACAAATGCTTTTAATTAATACTTTTGCACAAGAAATTTTATCATTGACATATTTGGTAAATTTAGAGAACAGTTGCAAAACATAGGACTCAGGTCTGGGGTCACGTATAGTGAGGACTGTTTGGGGACCACCACTAACTAGACCACAAGACTCAAAATTCCAACCATGGTGGGGACAATCACAGGATTTGTGGTCTGTCTGTGCAGCGCACGTCAGAATTGGGTGTTCTTGGTTGCTGGAGCCATCATACTGGATGGTATGCCCAGAGGCACGTGGGGGACGTGACAGCTCACGGAGGCTTGCAGAAGACATCTAGTACCATGTCATATGATGGAGGAGAGAACAGATTATAGACAACTCTCCTGGTCATGCTTTGACAGCAAGCATCTGGGCAAAAAGAGACTCTAAGATGGAATGTGTCAGACAACAGACCTTGGAAGAATTTCCTCATTCTTGGATCAACAAAATCACCAGCACCTCAGAACTATCCTAGGGTATGCTAGCAGTGCCCTCAGAACATGCTCTGTCTCAGGGCTCCTGGATGACATCGAGTGGCCATCCCATGTCACCCAGGTCCAGATGTGGTTAAGACTAGGTGAGGCCCTCTGCCCTTCTCTTCCCACCCCCTTCCCCAAAATATAGGAAGGAAGGAAGAAAAAAAACTGGAAACAGTTGTGTCCTCTATTCCTCAACCCTTGCCACCCAAATCAGTGGGCATGCATGCTGCTCATCTATGTAAAGTCATCAAAAATAAAACTGAAAACAACAAGAAAAAGAAATTTTTACCTGATTTCCAAATGCATGCCTTCCTAGCGTATTTTTCATTTTAAAATATTTCAAACTTTTACTGGAGTCTCTGAATTTTTCTCTTCTGTGATGTTCAGTCAAAACAGAACTATTATTAACATCACGATTTTCCACTTCTTTCTGCATGTTTGTAAAAAATATTTCAGTTAGATTGTGGATTAAATAAAGCTTTAACACAACCCATGTGGCAGTCACAACAAAAAAAATCACTCAGGAAGGTAAGTTTCATAAAACATACACGTAAGATTATATACAGCAAAACTCTTACAAATTATAGGTACATGAAGACAAAGAAAGATTTAGATCTAGTTCATCAAATTTTATAGTACATTTACACACACACATATATACGTAAAGTCTTTACTGGTAAGATTAACTCAGAGGTAAGAAATATAAGAAATTTATTTTTAAAACAAAATTTCTACCTGAATTTTATATACTTCTGTTTTAAAAAAATCCAAATCCCCTTTACCAGAAACTCCAGAGCGTACATATAGTTCAATAACTTTCGTATCTTCTACAAAATCCTTTTCCCATGTTTAGTGCAAATGGTACTCCATTTTAGTAATTCCAGCATTACGCTCTTGCTATATATTAAAACACTTGTTTTTCAAGTTAAAACTTAAGTGTTTAAGTATTTTATAGATTGAAGTTATAAATTTGAATTTAGATGAGTTAAATTACACACAATGCACAATATAAGAAACTATAAGAAACACTCTATATTAAACAGAGAGGTTCAATATTACTTAAACAGAAAACAGAGATGTTTATTGATTACTTAAAATCAGTATGTGCTAAGAACATATTATATGTCAGGAACTTTTTTGCTTAAGTTAATAAGCGGACATCATTTCAGATCAGAGCGCCAAAAGGACACATGGGTAATGCTTTAAAAGGCCAAGGTCGTATACCTGCATCAAAGATCAGTTACTGACTTCTAAATCCATGCTATACCCATCAATTATTGCCTTTTATACAACTATGTAATTAAAACAGAAATGTATTTTTTTTTCCATTCTTGTTTTACTTATTAGAATCTTCCTTCCCACAATCAACTTCTGTTCTGTCCTTGAAGTTAAACTCACATGTTTGTAAAGGGACGTAACATGAAGATCCCATCTGTCCAGTCAAATGCAAGAAACCCAGCTTTAAAAATACAGTTGTATAGGACAAGGGTAGTGGGAAGGACCAAAGAGGTCAGCAATAGTTTCCAACATATCATTGACAAGAGGAATTAGATGTGGTACTATTGTTTTTTTAGAAATGTATATTTTTAAGACTACAAAATTTTACCTGAGTTCTACAGATGGTCTGTCTTAAGGCACCTTTCATTTCAGGAAATTCTTTCTCTTTTTTCAAATCTCTGTTTTTTTCTTGATTAGCACACCTGGTCAAAACAGAACTGATTTGGGAATCTTCATCATTTTGAATTTCTTTCTGTATATAAACACAGATATATAGAGGAAAACAGCTTAGGAAATCAGCTAACCGTAACTTCAACATTACATACTTTGTGTGGTATTTAATCTTACCTATAACTGCCTAATCGTCTATTAGCCCAACTAGTAGGTAAAATGCACCCTCTTAAAAGCCTTCAAGAAAAAAATCACTGTAGCATGGACCTGAATAATGAAATGGTATCCGTGTATTTCCAGGAAAGCTATTGCTCTGATAGTCTACTAACAATAATCCTCTTTATGAAAAGTCAACAGCAAGAATATTTCAATTAGTACCTGTCCAAGTTAAACTTACAACCTGTATAAAAAACGGTCTCCTCAGTATTCAGGTACCAGAGCAAACGCCCTTAAGAATGCATCATTTGAATAACTTCCAGTTACTGTATGTTCATAATGTAACACAGTTCTTTACAATCAGTCCTCCAATCCAAAGATTTCACATCCACAAGTTCCAAAACTAGGGCTTCAACCAAACACAGACTGAAAACGTAATCAGGTCCACACACTTTCCCACCACCACTCCCTAAACAAAAAGTAAAACAACTGTCTATAGAGCATTACCTTCGGACTTAAAGCCATCTAAAGGATCAGAGAACACGGAGGATGTGCACAGACGACACGTGAGTGACAGCTGGTTCTACGGAAGGGACCTGCTGAGCACCTGCAGACTCTGGGATCAAGGAGGAATCCTAGAATCATTCAGCCCTCTGAAGTGACTGGGGGTGACTGCTTCTCACCACACTGTTTGTTCCTAAAATAAATCAATATATACCTAGCATTTATTTCACTTACCTCTAAAAGAAAATCCCCAAGATACTGAATTGGATAAAATGGAGCCTTAAAGTTGTCTTTTTCTTTCTCCGCACTGATTCTTGCATTACTGGCAATCACATGGGTTACTCCACTCGATGAGCTTTTCGGCAAAACAACATCTGCCTTTCCAGCTTCCAAAACTCTGAAAAAAAATTTCAATAATACAGAATTATATATATAAAAAAAAGGGAGTATATTTAGTCATTTAATCTAAATGAATTACATCTCAAGAGCTGGAGTAGAATTTTCTTAAAGGAACTAATTCCTTTTGGCCATTGAGGATCATGGGGTAAGTTAATCCAGCAGAAAGTTAAAAGTAATTAATTTTCAGAAAATATGGTTAGGAAACATACTGCTCTTCCTACCTATTACTTAATATGAAAAAGGCCAGGAAAGAAGATTACAGCTTTCCCTAAATCAGACACCAGTAAGGCAAAGGAACAGTGAAAAAAGTCGAAGGAAGCAATTATTCTAAAGTTAACCACATCTCCAAGAAAACCAGTGCCCAGTTACTGAACAGTTTAAAGCTAGCTTTTAAAACTTTTAGCCTCAATCTATACATAAAATTACATTTTATGTTTGGACTCAAAAGATACTGACAGAGAGGCATGTCTCAGAAGTTGCATATTCTGCTTCTGTTTAGTGTTGAAAGGCCACTCTATTCCATCACTTATAATCAAGGAAAAGCCAAATAATCTGTAACATCTTAGTGTTTCTTGAATCCATCAGAGAACAAAGGAAACTCACCATTAAAGTAAGATTATCATAGGGCAGGAACGAAAACTTCCTTTGTGAAAAGGCTGACCACCTAAACTACTGCACTTTGGCAAAGAACAGCAAAGAAGCAGTTGCTGTTTAAAACATGAGAATTAGGAAAATTTTAAGAAATTTAGCTTAGGCTGGCATCGTGGCATATGACTTAAGCTAACATGGGCACAGGTCTGAGTCGTTTCTGCTCACTTTCTATTGAAGCCCTGCAAGAGAAGCTGGAAAAGCAGCGGAAGATGGCTCGAGTGCTTGGGGCCCTGCGCCCATGTAGGAGGCCAGGAAGGAAATCCTGGCTTTGGTCCTGGTCATTATGGCCACTTGGGGAAGATCTCTCAGCCTTTCAAACAAATAAACACAAATAATGCTTTAAAAAAGAAATTTAGAGGTCAAGCAAAACTAGCACAGTAATTCAGAAAAACCAGGAGTTTCAGCTAGATGGGAAACACGTCTTCAAGCTGAAGTACTCTGCGACAAGCACCCATTAATACTTGTGATTGGGCAGCAGGTTAGAACAAGAACACCCTGGTTATAAGGTTGATCAGTAGGTTTGACCGTCAATAAGAAATCAGATCCACTTCTCCCCGCCCTTCTAAATAGGTAATAAAAACCTGAAATCTTTGGGTAAGAAGAATTTTTTCTACCCTCAGACCCAGGCAAAGCTGCACTGCTTATCTCAGAAGAAGGACAGCAAAGACCGAAGAACAGATTGTTTCTGGGATGAGTGCTGTGGCATAACACACTAAGGTTCCAGTTGCAATGTCAGCATTCCTCGTGGATAATGGTTCGAGTCCTGACTGCTTCATTTCTGATTTGGCTTCCTGTGTGAGGCCTGGGGAAGCAAGGGAGGATGGCACAAGGTTTGGTGCCTGTGCAGCCACATGGGTCACCCAGAAGCGGTTCATGCCTCCTGGATTCCAGCTGGCTCAGCCAATTGGTGATCAAACCAGCAGATGAGCACCTCGTTCTCACTCCCTCATTTGCTTTGTAACTCCTCCTTTCCAATAAAAATAAATCTTAGGGGAAAAAAAGATCAATAGTTTCTAAAGGAGGGAAAAGAATAAAAGATTTCTGCCTTGAAGAAGGGACAGGAATGCCAGATGGGCTTAAGATATGACACTGAACACGGGAGACACCAGGGATGAAGAAAGAGATTGGAAACTCTCTTGTCCAGCACTCTAACCACAGATTTCAGGTAGAATTTGTCTGCCAGGGATACTGAAACACAAATACTCAGGAAGTTTCTAGCACACACATTAACCACGGAGAACTATTACTACTGCTGTCTAGTAGAGCGAAGTATATACATATTCACAGACTGGGCCTAGAAATTAGTGACAAAACAGAGGGAAAGAAAGAGGTGTTTGGTGACCTAGAAGTGTCACTAAAGGGATGAAGGTAGGGCAAAAAGATGACTAAAAACTCACTAGGATCCAAGGCAACCCAGATCAAGTATAAAAATTTGGAGCCCAATGCTCGAAGCTAAGTGAAACACCAAAGGTAACCAGAGCATTAGAAACAGCTCAGCTGACAAGATACAGTCCAACTGCTCACAGTAACTGCTGGCAGCTCATTTTTTGATTCAAATATTGTTTGCCTCCAATTCAACTCTCCCTGTTCATGTGATGTTTAGCACACAATTAGCAAACATAAAAACAACATGCACACACAAAACTACTGCAAAGAACAAAGGCATCAGAAGAATAGATTGATTAATGGTATAATTGGTGAAATTATCAGCAAATGACTAAAATAACCACGACTGGCAGTGGTTACTGTGGCCCAGCAGAATTAAGTAGTCTTTAGGGACGCCGACATCCCATATCAGAGTGCCTGGTTCAAGTCCTGTCTACTTCATACCAGAAGCTGAACCACCTGCCTACTAATAACGCACGAAGGATACAGTGGCTGATGTACCAATATCTGGGTCCCTGCCACCAACTTGGGAAATGTGGACAGAGTTTTGGGCCCCTGGCTTTCTTCTGTTGGGGGACCCGTTATTATGGACATGTGGGGAATAAACCAACAGGATGGTACATTATTGCTCCTGGTTCCTGGCTTCAGACTGGCTCAGCTTAAGCTGTTGTACTACTTGGTGAGTGATCCAATGGATGGAAGATCTTTCTGTCTGTATCTCCTTCTCTCTTTCTTTTTAATAAAAATAAATCTTACACACACACACACAAATAAGTGGAAATTAAATTATAAGGTTTGGAAGAACTAATACTTCAAATAAGCCTAAAGGGAAATGGAAAAAATTTCTTGTGAAAATATTAAAAATACAAGATAGCAAAATTAAAGTTTGGGGTCAGTGTTGCGCTGAAAAAGTAAAGCCACTGGTGATGCCAGCATCCCAGATGGGTGCCGGCTTGCGTCCCAGCCCTCTATCTCCCTGCGGACGGCTGGGAAAGCAAAGGAGGACAGCTCAAATATGTGGGCCCTGTCACCTGCCTGGGAGATTCAGACGAAGCTCTTGGCTTCTGTCTGGCCTAGTATAGGCCACTGCAGTCAATTGGAGAGGGAACAAGCAGAGAGAAAGCAAATATATATATTTTTAAATTAAAAATTTTTTTTTAAATTTAAGGAATGCAACAAAAATAGCCTAAAAGAAAAATTTTTCATAATAAATGCTCTGTCGAGGACACAGGAGTAGAAATTGAGAGAGGTTAAGATGCCATTTGGGCTGACCACATCTCATAAATAATCAAATAGGCAATAGAGAGGAAAGGTTGAAAAGAGAACAAAGAACACTCACATAATGCATGGGACTGGATCCAAAGGGCTAACATTCAAGTTATTGGAGTTCAAGAAAGAACACAGAAAGACAAAAGAGTAGAAAGCTCACTCAAAAAAAAAAAAAAAACCCAAAAGCATGACGCTCCAAACCTAGAGAAAAGATGAACATCCAGGTGCTAGATGGCTAAAAGTAACCAGTGAAATTCAACACAAATAAAACTTGCCAGGAGTTGTCATAAGCAAGTTCTCAAGACACAGACAGGATCTTGAAAAGCAGCAGAACCAAGTCGGACATATGTAAGGCAGTTTCAGTAACAGACGTAAGGCATTCTCATACATCTACCTGCAGAATCCTCGGCAGACACCCTACAGAGCAGGACGGAGGCAGACAGATTCAAAAAGAAAAAAAAAAAGCTAACGAAGAATGTGTGCGCCAAGACAAAGCTAGCCCTCAGAAATGAGGGAAAGATAAACTCTCCCCAGAAAAGCTGAAGGTTCTTCAAAGTAAGGCAAAGCTAATGTGCAACACAAAAGATCTGAAGGTAAGATTCAGAAATAACAATATGCAAATTCAGAATACTCCAACACTATAATCACGGTGTTCAAACTGCTTACATTTCCCTTGGAAAGATTAGGACAAAACTACTAAACTTAAAAAAAAAAAAAAAAAAAGAATGCTATAGGACAGAAATATATGCATATTGTGAAGTAAAAATGAAAAATTTTAAAAGAATGGCGTCAAAGTTTAAAACGTAGATCGCTCTCCTTTAATCATATTTACCAGTTTAAGCCAATCTGCTATAATAACATTTTTGTAAGCCTCATGAGAACTACAAAATAAAAGCCTCAACACTAAGAATAAAGGCATCAATGGTACAGTAATAGAGAAAAATCACTTAAGCATAAGAAAGTAAAATGTTACTAATAAGTCCTTACGTATTACCTCACTGACTGCAAACAGGTCGAACTCTCTGAATGGGCTGAATGCACAAAGACACCAGGCAGCTCTGCAAGACCCGTGAGAGCCTGACTTCACTGCAAGGCCACGCACAAAGGGAAGGATGTGTAAGATACTCAGGCACGTGCGAACAAAGACAACAGGAGCGGCTACACGTCCATCAGATAATTACAGAGATCAGGTAATGACAAGAGTCAACACAGTAAAGATGATATGAAAATGGTATCAGGGCAACCAAATACGTAAAGCAAATATTAAGTGATCTAAAAAGGCAGACTGTAATAAACTACCAGCTGGGGAGAGCACCCTGATTTACCAAAGCACAGATCACGCAGGTGTAAACCCAACACACACAGCAGATGTAAAATACGCTCGTGAGCAACAGGATCTAGAGGACCTGTGCTGACGCTCACAGAGCACGCATCTCTCAGGTGCGTGTAACCGCTCTCTCAGACAGACCACAGTTAGGCTACAAAATAGGAAAAACAGGAATAACCAGATAAACAAAAACCAATAAATACAAAAAAATAAATCTGGCAAACAAAGAAAACAAACAAACAAACAAAAAACCCAAAAAATATATTACAAAACAAGTAGTACTGGATCTCTTTTAGAAACCGCACATATTTCACTTCTTTGGGATAGATTCCCGGGAGTGAGGCAGCAGGGTCGTCTGGGAGACGCACTTCTCAGGGATCTTAGGATCCTCCATACGGCTGCACTAGTTCCCCGTGTTTACAGCAGCTCAACTCAAAGTGAGTCATGAAATCAACTGAGATGTACGGCAAACAGAAGCGGGATAAAGAAATACAGTGCACATATACTATGGAATACCACTGAGCTAAAAAAAAAAAAAAAAAAGAAATCTTGTCTTTCACAAATACATGTTCGGAACCGCATATCACTATTCTTAGTGAAATCAGTCAGTCCCCAAAAACAAATCCCACGTTTTCCCTAATTTGTGTTGGCTAATTCCCAGAGTGCAAAACAGAATGTAACCTATAGCATTAAGAATGGCACTCTGTATGTTTTTACAATGATTGCCAAGTTGCTATTTAAATTACGCAAGAAAATCAAAGCACTCCAAATCACCAAGCACAATTCTGAGAGGGATATGGCAGAGCAATTGGTATCTATTTCAATATGTACTATAAAGCTGAAACTAAAGGCATGAGATACTGGCATGTGAAATCTATAGATCAGTTGAAGAAAATAAGGTTAATTGAGTTTCAACAGTGCCAAAACTCTGAATACTGTGAATATGAAATAGCATTAATGTGGGCCCAGTGCAGTAGCCTAGCAGCTAAAGTTCTCTCCTTGCATGTGCCAGGATCCCATACTGGTGCTGGTTGGATGGTTCAAAGTCTTGATATCCTGCACCTGTGTGGAGACCCAGAGGATGCTCAGAGCTCCTGGCTTCGGATTGGCTCAGCTCCGGCCTTTGCGGCCCCCTGGGGAGTGAATCAATGGGCAGAAGATCTTCCTCTCCATATATCTGACTTTCCAATAAAAAGATTTTTTGAAAGTGGTAACAATTCGGCATTTTTAATAAACATACATTTATTACCTGGGCTAACAATTTCATTCTCAGATATTACCCAGGAGAAATGAAAATTATATGGACTATCTGGACGCTTCTACTGAAATGTTCACTGCAGGTGACAAAAATGAAACGCATCCCAAACTTCCCGGTGGTAGGTAAGCTAATAAACAGACTGTGATACAGCCATACAGAATACTACTTGGCAACAAAAAGATGGGATTAGCAACAGTCCCAACAATCTGGGTACATCTAACAAACACCCACTGAAACAATGGAGCTACATTAAAGAAGCATATTTAATATTATTTGATATAGGCAAACCTCTACCAAAAAACAAAAAGAAACAAAACAAATTTACTGTGGCATGACAAATAAGGCAGCTGGTACAGATACAAAATTTTTAAGAATATGAGGGCTCATAATGAAATAATCAAATTTTTGCAGATTTTAGGTGAGGGAAATACGAGTGTATAACTTTCTCTAAACTTATCAAAATACACACTTAAAGTTGATACATCTTATGCATAATTTATATTTTAGAGGCAAAGGAAAAAAAAAAAAACATACCACTCCTTGTCCCTGTCAGAAGTTAGTAGCACTTTTAAAAATAGTTTATCTAATAGGAAGGCTTTTAAACAAAATTAAATTACAATGGAAACAGTAGAAATCTTGCAAACAGAACTATAAAAACCCTCGTTTCCCTTTGCTATGTTGTGAGACTAATTTAAAATTTTCTAAAATATTTCAAAACTGGAAAAAAAAAAGCCAAACTCCCAGTTAGTTTTTAAAAATTTTTTGTTGGCCAGAAGAAATAATACTGAAAGTAAAAGTGAAAGGGATCATTAGCATATTAAAAACCAACACCATGAAACACTTTGCCCTATTAGTGATACATTTACTTAAAAGTGAAGATGGCTTAATTCAGAGATCAAAGAGACCTGCCATGGCCTACCATCACAGTTACATAGCTCAGAGGCATTCAGACAAACCGAAAGGACTCCCCCACCCCTGCTGAGCACACGCTCTCACTCACCTCATGAGGGAGTCACTCCTCTTGTCAGCTCGGACAAGCAGGACCACTTTCCATCTGTGAAAAGCTCCTGGCGCACCGGTGCGCCTCAGTTCTTCCCGCCATCTTTTGGGTGCAGACTGCATTTGAGGGGAATAATGGGAGTCCTTTTCAATCTTATAACCCCATTCGTAAGTTGTCTCGTCCAGCCACCTTCCGCTCCTAGCACTGTGAATGATGTAGTCCTTGGTGAGGACCCACTTGCCTGGAACACAGAAGAAAGTGTCCTTCACAAAACCATCTTGCTTCTGATGGAACGATAAGCAATCAAGATCAAACGGCAAACAAAGGTCGATCCTTCCAACGTTAGACTCTTTCCCCACACTGTCAACAGTTCCTTTTAAAACTTTTTAGATTTTTGATATAAAGCGGTCTATAGCTTTACTGAACATTGCATGTAACTTTTTCCATAATTGTAATTCCAAATGTTGTCTAAAGCTTTAAAATTATAAAGTGCAGCACTGCTTGAGATGCTATTACTACATTTATTTACTTATTTAGAGCTAGATTTATATTCTTCCTCATATACTAAATATTTTTCCAATAATGCTCACAGCATTCTTACACCCCATAAAACAAATTTATCATGCTAGGGAAATTTCCTGGGCGTTTAGTAATAAGCTTTAGTTCCTTTTCTGGTACAGTAATCTTTTTTAAAGGAGGCATGATTGTGGAATTTGGAAATGCAAGTGTTTTGCTTTTTTTGTATTTTGTTCTTGTAAGTTAAATTAAAAATGGTAAATTTACCTGTGTTATGATATATACATGTTATTGAATGTTAAAAAAAAGAGTAGATTCTAACTTGTGATTATAGAATATATACATATCTCAGAAAAATAAAATTGGATGACCAGTTAGATGGAAAGTGGGGAAACAAAAGAGGGGGACACAAAGTAATTCCAATGATGGACCAACGAAAAGAAATCTGACAACAAGGTAAGTCACAACAAAGGCTCAAGATGTTGACATTTTGCAAAAGCTTTATAAAAATGATTTTTCTTAAAGCATCATACCAAATCTTCTTGAAGCATGTGTTTCTGCCCATTTCATCCATTTTTCATGAAGTGTAAGATTTTACTTCCGAAAAAAAAAATATTTTCACAAAAAAAGATTCACATTTGAAGTAATGAACACAGTATCTCTCCAGCAGTGAACACGCTCTTTCTTCAACAGGAAGCTCGTGTCAAGGGCGGGAACGGGGCAGCTCACTCACCTGCGGCACAAGCTGCTAAAAATTTTTCACTCTTACACAGTCGTTCAGCTATAAGATGTGTACAGTTCTTGTATTTCTGAAAGAGAAAATCCACATAAAAATACTACCACAGATTTCCTTAGTAACTCGTCTTTTACATTCTTGAAAATGTGAAGCAGTATTTTATCATTATTTTAACTTTCATTATCTTTCAATTATACTTTTAATATTTTGCTGAGTTAAGCTTCAGTACTCACCTCACTCTTAATAAAAGTGCAATCTAGTTTTAAAAGCAATTTGCCTAGAGCTTCCTTTTCTTCCATCTTAAATCCAGTGATCTGGATGATGTGCTTTGGGGCATCCTCTTCCATCTATCAAATACATAACAGAAAGCACGTTGAAGATGATCTTATCCCCAGAGAGGACACTGAATGCTAAATATGAACACATTAAAAACACTGAACACACGACGAAGTAAGCATGCAAAGCACAACTGTTAATAATATTAAATTTACTTATATACAGTAGAAGCTAGCTTTCAAAGTTGCCTTTTTACCACATGGTCACATAGGCACATTTCTGAACACTGAACATTTGCATTATATTACTTGCCACCAAAACACACTGATAAACATAATTTTGTACAAAAGAACAGAGGTATATAAAACTGAAGCTAGCATTAACAATACTAGCTTCGCTTAAAAGTACTGTGTCAGCAACTATTAAAATAAGTGCACTTGCAGAAATGAAATGCAATCTTGTATACACTGAATTATATAGCGTCTATGGCATTTATTAAAGTATATACACAAACAACTGGAGAAGCATGGTCTCCCCACATCGATACAGATGACGGCCCTGGGTCTTATTCCCAGCCTTCATTTCTCAACTTCGTTAGGACTTGTTCATTTCATCACTTACAAGGTAAACCAAAAAAATCACATCTTAGCTAAGTTCATCATCCTAGGGACTTAACTACATGTTTAAATGAAGCTCACAAAGTGCTTTATGTTTGATGTGGTACATAATTTTGTTTCTTTTTACAGATGAGGAAAATAGGCAATTAGAGCAGTTAGGATAACTTTGCATTTGTCCAATGATTTTGTCATCAATTTTACTTGTGGATTAGTAATTTATTAAAGGCAAAAGCATACTAGTAGTAATGATTATTTTGAACATTTAAAGAAGCAATGACCTCTTTCAAGACAATTACAAGCAAATTTTACAAACTATTTGAACTTGGGACTAGCAGCATACCACTGGTAAAGAGAAAAAAACGTTCTTCACACAAATTCTATTTTAAGGGCCTGTAGCAATGGCTCAGTGGCTAAATCCTTGACTTGCATGCGCTGGGATCCTATATGGATGCTGGTTGGGTTCATGTGCCAGCTACTCCACTTCCAATCCAGCTCCCTGTTTGTGGCCTGGGAAAGCAGTGGACCCTGCATCCACACAGGAGACCCTGACAAGCTCCTGGCTCCTGACTTAGGATTGGCTCAGTAACAACCACTGAGGTCACTTGGGGAGTGAACCAGTGGACGAAGACCTTTCTGTCTCTCCTGCACTCTGCAAAATATGTGCTTTTCTGATAAAAATTAAAATTTTAAAAAAATTCTATTTTCAAAGACTAAAGTACACATATATGAAAAGCCAGTCCTCTGTATCTCTGGGGTTCTCACCAATGGATTCAACCAATTATACTTGAAAAAGTTTTAACAGCATCTGTACAAAACTTAAACTATTTTTCTTGTCACTTCCTAAAGAATACAGTGGAACAACTATTTAGCAGCAATTATAGTATCATTGCCTAAATAATACTGCACACCGGGTACATGGCATTTGCCTTGTATCAGATACTGTCAGTAATCTAGAGATGATCTAAAGTACATTAGATTTCTGGAAGGGCCTTCAGTGAGCCTCATCGGGCTCTGGAACCTTCGCAAGGAATCCAAGAGTCCAAGGGATTTCACTGTGAACATTTACAGCATTTTTCAGGGTTACAGTGACCCTTAGTCTCTTTTGCCTAAAGCTTCTGAGAGCTGCTGCAGCTACTCTAACCACACTCCTGGTTTCTCTTTCTACCTCCCCTTCTAACTCAGGAGAGGTTTCTGTGACAATTAAAGAGAGATACTTTGCAAAGAAGGGTTCCACCCAGCCTGAGCAGCTGCCAGTAGTCACGCACTGTCTGTGTGACGATCAATGCAGAGGTTAAGTACTAAGAAGCACATTGCAGGTGTACATCAAAGGCAACTCAAACTAACTTCTACGCAATAAAAAAAATGAACAATTATTTTAACTTCAGTACATCCTTCTTATTTCTAAGTACAAGCCTGTTCAATAAAACACATTAAAAAATTTGGGTTGGGGCTGGCATTGTGCTGCAGCAAAGTAGGCCTCGCCTGTGTTCCCAGACCCCAGCTCCAGCTGCTCTACTTTAATCCAGCTCTCTGCTCAGGTGCCTGGGAAAACAGCCGTGGATAGTTCCAGTCTTTCCCTTGAGTCCACAAGGGAAACCCTGGTGAATCCTGGCTCTGGTCTTCGGCCTGGTCCAGTTCAGGCCGTTATGGCCATCGGAAGAGTGAACCAATGAGTGAAGATCTCCCTGTCTCTCCTCCTCCCTGTAACTTTGCCTTTTAAATAAAAATACATGAATCTTGAAAGTATTTGGTCTGGTCAGTGCAAAATTATATATACACGGTAGTTTTTGGTATCTTAGGAAAACATCAATACATCCATAAAACACTATACTAATAAAAATATAGCTTCTTACACAAGGTACTCATTACCAAAACCAGTTTTCAACTGTGCACATGGATTAAATGACAGACAACACATAAAACTTTACTAATCCATTTTGCTGCTAGAAATAATTTAATATGATGTACAACACCCATAACCACAAGTAAGCCATATGTGTATTATCTAGCGTATGCCTATAATTTCAGAAAATGCTTTTTTAAATCCTAGAAATTTAAGAAAATCCTTAAAAAATATATCCTTTAGAAACCAAATGCCTTCACAAATACCAGACAAGTACAATTTATCCGTGAAGATCATACTGATCTTCAACCAATGGTTGCTTTTGTAATTCTTTAAATCCACTGTAATGAAAACAGTTTTGAACATAGTCCAACATATTCTTGTTACTACTATCCTTTGTGTATTTAAGAGGTTCAAAAGCTACACAGCAGGCTATTTGAAGAAATGTTGGCAAGGAAGAGAAATTTCAGTGGTCTTAAAACCGTAAAATCCAACCATTCTATAACACTATAAAAACTATACAGGAATAAAAAATATGCAGAAAGCAATGAAAGCATTAAAAACTTCCTTAATGCTATCACCCAAAATGCTTTACATAAAAGCTGTTCTCCAAATCTCATCACTGTTTCTCACTGCTATATAGAAATAAGAAAAATTCCATCATATGTTCTTTTTCAATCAACGTTTTTTTAATCTGAGTATTTATCACTAATGAAGTACTTTTCAACATGTCTTGGTATAATTTACAATCATTGAATCACCTGGACTTACTGGGGTCAACACTCAGCTTCCATCTTAAAGTCCTACACGTGATGGAAATAATCAAAGATAACAGCATTTTTGTTAAAGTGCAGCCCTGGAGTAAATAAAGCCAGGGCTGTGTATAACAACAGAAGCCCACAACCCGCCCAGGACCATTGATTTCCTTTTAAAATGTTTAGACATGAAACTGAAACTAAACATGCAAAGAGGAAAAGGAAGAAAACAGGTGAGAAAAACGAGTATGTCTTGATTTAAACATTATACAAACTGACATTTTAAGAAAGACTTCTGAATACAGGACAGTAACTCACAAGTTGATCAGAAAAACTGGGGCATCCACTCAGCTGCCCCAGACCTCTGAATGCTGGGCACAGCACGAAACAGCCAGCCCAGGCCGCTCAAGAGCCTAATCTAACAGCAGTCTGTGACAAAATCTCCTTGAAATAATGGCGTTCATAATACGACAAACTAATTTTCTAAATCGCAGATATAATTTACAATCTAGCATAAAACTGGTATCTAAATATGAAGATACAGATAAGCAAAGATATATGAATAAATTTCTAAAATTAATGATTTGTTACACATTTCTCATTCTGCAGGATTAACCATGAATAGTTTGATAATGCCAATGAATCCAAAGAGAGCATTGCAAAATGGGTTTAATTCATATTAGTAATTCAGACAACTAAAGAAAAAAACTTGTGAAAATTCGAGGAAAATGCCCATTGAAAGAATGGAGGGGAGAGGAGAGGAGTGGGAGGCGAGCGAAACTGGGGAGAAGGGAGACCCCAGTGCCCAACGAACAGTGTCATAAAACAAACACAAATCAATAATGGTCTCGAGAGGGAAAAAAAAGTCAAGTCTTATGTAGGTAACGTGTTCTAGAAAAAGCCAGCCAGCACAAGAAAGCAAACACACACCAATGTAATTACATTAGCGATATTTCTAGAAAAATTAGATTTTGTGCAACTTGCAAGGGGATGTTCTTTGAAGCATTCACACAGGCTACACAAGCCTACCTAAAATAATGCTTGAAAGAGTATTATCAGTTTTGCTTTTATCTTTTGTCAAAAAGTAAAAATTGTATATAATATTCCTGGTTAGAAAAAAATGTTCTTTAGTAGTTTTATATATATTTAAAGTTGTAGTAATTAAGAAAAATTTTGGTTACTTACTTTGAACTGCACGTACCACTAAGGAGATAGTGACTGCATGCAGAGCTGGCTTTTAAACACAGCAAGCAACTGTCTCTGCAGTGTGGACTTTCCCAAAATATCTCCCACATGGGCTTACCCCGCACGTCTCAAATTCCTTTGCAGTTGGTGCCAGGAAGAAATCCAAGTACACCTATAGCACTTGCCATCAGAACTGCAAACACCATACAATTTTGAGACCGCTCAAATTTTTCTATGTGACACACATCTAGAGTTTGGTGGAATAGTGTAAGAACATAGCAAGAAAATGCTGAAAAACGAACCTGGAGAAAAGTACCGGCAGGACCGCAGAGATGAGGAAAGAACCAGTGTGTGAGCCAAAATCAAGGGCAGGGACTAACCAGGTGAAGGGGCAAAGCTCCATGCGACAGGGATGATGGAAGAGGATTTTTTAGGACAATGAGAATAAACTCATTTCAATTTCTTCTATAACACTAACATGCAATAGAAATTTGAGAATACATGGCATCTTGCAAGCTCACTCATCAATGACTAAAGCAAGTTGCTTATAAAAAGTTTAATTTAGGTATGCGTATTTCAAGTCCTAAACCAAAACAACTTTTACGGATTTTTGTATCATAATTCACACATGCATATTAAACAAAATTTGCAGACTACTACAAAGCATACATGTCATTATATAGATCATAAAATCATTTTGTAATTTCTTCACCTTTTATCCCAACTGTTAAAACATCTGCAGAAGGGATCAACTTTCAGGCATCATATATATATATATATATATATATATATATATATATACATATACTTGTTACCCAAATGTCTGCAACAACTCGGTTGGCACCATGTCAGAGCTGAGGGCCTGGCACTCCGAGGAGGCCTCCCCGAGGGGGCAGGGACCAGCTGCCTGAGCCATCCTCTCTGCCCTCCAGGAAGCAGCTTCAGAAACAGAG